AGCCTCCATGCACACCTCCTACTTCCCTTTTTCTTTCCCCCTTTCTCGCCAATAAAACTGCAGTAACTCCCTTGTTGCCCTCTCCTACCCACTCCTCTCCATCATGCCCTTGTGACTGATGCTAGAGTTCTGCCTGTAGCACTAGATTGGATTTGTACAGATGGCTGGAAACAGAAACACACACACACACACACACACACACACACACACACACACACACACACACACACTGGGTGATGCCCCAGTTAGCCTACATATGGAAAATAGGGCAGTGAGGGTGGTTGTGATTAAGTTGTGTCTTTGTTTAACTTCTGTCTTAAGGCAGCATGTTTAGCACAAACATGTAAGGGATTGGTGAGCAAATGTTATAACCCAGAAACTGGACTGTGTTAAATCCTCCACACTGAATATTGTGTTAGGTCTCGTTGCTCAAAGGATCTCATATATGGTGGGGTAGAGGGTTTAGGATTAAGGTGAGCATTAGTATTATCAGGGTTAGTTTGGCATAATGCACAATTCAAACAGTCATCAGATTGCCTGCTGCTGTCATCTGAAAGCAAAATGGCGAACTGAAATCCTGAATCTTATGCTAACAACCTTTAAACTAACTGGTACTCCTTAGAAATTCATGAGGATTCAGCAAATGCATGGCCTGTTTATTTCCTAAAATATTTTCCAAAACTACTTAGGTGTTGTGTTGTTAAGTGTATAGTAATATACCGTACTGCATACAATGTTCAGCTGTATGATGTGACAAATCCCTATGCAATGACCTGAGTTTCAGCTAAACGTCTATGGTAAAATAACAACTCTAGATTGTTTCTTGGATTAGGATTTTGTGGCCAAAATGACGTTTCTAGTTATACCTTTACCACATGGATTGTTATTTCTTAAGCCCATGTTATAACCAACTTTAGCTCAGTGTTTTATGATTGTGCAGCTGCTGTAAAGTGTTGCTAAAGAGCAAAACACATCAATCAGCCAGCGGATTAGTCTGTGGCCAGTGTCCATTTACTGAGCTGCAGGTTGACAACAGATAACAGAGCGTGCACCTCAAAATATCAAGTAACAACAAAGATGACACTAAGCCATCTCTCTGTCTATCTATCTATAAACCAATACTTTTTGGATTCATTAATAATGTGAAATACTGTATGATTACCTGTAAATTAATGGTTAAACTTAGCATATAGCACCTTCACACTATCCTCTATGTAAACCTCAACCCCACTTTAAACAGACACATACACACGAGCTCACACAAATACCTGATTATTTAAGCATGCAGCAGTCTTAATGGATGCGTCTGTAATCAGAACAAGCCAACAACTGTAAACATGTGCTAATGTTTCTGATTGGGTGGTGTAGGTATCACATACTGTATCTGCCCTGTGTCTGTTGGTGTGTACGTGTTTTGATTGTGTCAAATGTGGTACTTTCTTACTACACATTGGGCTGCACAGAGCATATTTCAGAGCAGGGGAAAAACAAACAAAGTGATGACTGATGACACACATACACAAACATAAAAAAGCCCTCAGACCTGATGGTGTTTAACTGTTTTTTTTTTTACGTTTTGGAAAAACTTATCTGAAAAAAAGAGACGAGGGTGATCAGAGCATAGTGATTCTCATAAGTCATAAGTGGATATAAATTTTCTCCTGTCCTCACTACACGCACATCTGGTCTGATTAATTAACCAGAGATACATGATGAGGTGCCCTTACTGGCGCTAACATGATTTTAGTCATGTGTTTTAAGTTAGGATTGTGTGTCTACAGTCAGGAAAACTCAAGTCTTACCCTGCACATTTGAAGGTGTAGGTTTCAAGAAGTAAAACATCAGTGGGCTACAAAATGTATGCAGGTGATGTCAACATATTGACACAGGAAAACATACATTAAATGTTTGACCTAGCGAAAAAAACATCGCTGAGAACTGGGTTTGGTTATTAATTTGGCGGTTCAAAATGGCAAAATTGGAACATTGTAGACCACTGAAAAATATAAACTCCAAAGTCAAGATTGAAGTGTAAACAGCCTGAGTAACTGAGAATTATAACTAACTCCAGTGGCACGTGTCTTCTCATCAGTTGCAGGGACGCAGTTTTATATCTGAGCAAACATGAACCTCAAAGCTTCGACTGGGAAAGGAAAGCTTCACTCAGGGCAACATCAACCTCCTCTTTGCTGACTCCAAGCTGCCTGCTACATCAAAGTAGGCCCCCATTTCCTTAGAAGTACCAAAGAATCAAGTATCCATGAGGGAAAAAAAAGAAGACGAAAAAAAACCTTTGAATATGTTTTCCAGCCGGCCAGACAGACATAACAAAGTCTGGTCTTTGACACCACCGTATATCACTTTAGGCTTCAGCTTAAAAGTTGTTCTTCAACGTTAGTAGTTGAGCAATGAATCATTTTTTGAACCTGAAGACCCAGCATATTGACCTCCCTCTCATAAACACACATGAGTGGAAAATCAAATAAAACCAAGGTCCTTCTGCTAATGTATCCTTAATTAAGCAATCACCCTCCTAAAATCAGTCTTGACTTAAAACAAACAAGACTCGGGGTTTATAGCCATGTTAGCAACTCTGTGAGGCTGTACAGGAACAGTGGTGCTTGGAGCTAAATGCTATCATGCTCAGTTATAGTTCGACATATTGGGAAATGCTTATTTGCTTTCTGGCAGACAGTTAGATGTTAAGATCGATACCAGTTTCATACCCGTCTATTAAATATAAGGATACAGACAGCAACTGCTAAGCTTATCATAAAAAAACCCCAAAGAAAAACAGCAACAGCAACTCAAAAGCTCACAAATTAACACATACTTTATCTCGTTTCTTTAATCCATACAAAAAGTGAAAACAGAGGTACTGGTACACAGATTTTATTGCCTTTGGACTGCTCAGTCCAGTCTGGCTCAAGGCTAGCTGTTTCCAGTCTTTATGCTAAACTAAGCTAACCGGCTGCTGGCTGGCCTTATATTTAACAGACATGAGAGCAGCCTAAAAGCAATTATGTGTTATTTCCCAAGATTATTCTGTATGTGCCAAGTTTATGCACAAGAACATATGCTGTCTGTCATATAGCCTAGTAGCCTGTGAAAAACAGGTACCATGGCCCCCCATGTAAACATGGTGTTAGCATGCAAAGATTTGCTAATTAGCACTAAATACAAAGTACAGCTGAGGCTAATGGGAATGTCATTAGTTTTACAGGTATTTGGACATAGACCAAAGCAGTGAATGGATTTGAATGTTGACCTAATGATGGAGTTTGAAGAAATGTCAAGTTATTACAATTCATCCTGATGGGCATTGAGTTAGATGGAGTCCCAAATTGTATGGCAATCTATCCAAGATATTTCATTCTGGACCAAAACTGACATTTTTAGAGTTAAAAGTACCTGCTCAGCTAATGAGTACATTTCTACAGACAGGTGTTTTTACTGTAGCGGTTATCCCTAAATAGCTTCCTTGTTTAAATAACATTATGTAAAATGCATTAAGAGATTAATTCAAGCACAGAGAATTTGTTAGTGTTGTTGTTGTCAGTCTGATGCCCAAAGCACTTGTCTCTAACCCACATTTGAAAATAAATAAATAAATCTATTCCTATTGCCTCCTCTCTGACACGTCAGCAAACCCGAGGCAGCTACAAATGTCCTCTCTCAAAGGAAAGCCTGTGTGACTCCAGACTGACCCGGCTGCCTCCTCTCTGCTGCAGAGAACACGAGATTTAAGATGGTGAGGAGGCAAACTAATTCACTCCAGCTGGAGGCAATGACTGCGTGTGGGTGTGTTTCCGAGCTCTATTTCTTTCACTTACAAGCATACACATGCCCACAGACATCCACTTGAATGACTGCACTTTTTCTCTGACATCCCGTCTAGACTTAAGTGTCTCACATACAAACACAACGAAAGCACCTCCATGAAGCCATCTGGACAGCAGGTTGCCATTTCATCAATGCCCATAATCTGCTTTTATACCCCTGAAAGGTTAATGTTATCAATGGTGAGAAAATAATAAGTCCCAGGATGTAGGCACAGAAAAAAGAGAAGGGATAACAAATAAAGGAACTGACCGAAAGACGGTGGAAGGAACAGAAAATGAGGGATATCTGACATGAAAATGAGCAGCAGGTGTATAGGTCGTGTTAAATAGCAGGTCCATGTCATCGTATGTCCGTGTCACACGTGAAGTCAAGTGTCAGGGTTCTGTGTGTAAGAAATATAATTGACAATAATGCCCTTTTCCTGTCTGTCTCCCTATTTGTTTAATAGTTTTGGCATTGACATAACTCACTGATCTTGTTTTTCACTATGTGAATTCAAGCCAAATGCTCCGCAGCAGCCACTTCATTTGTTTATGTATCTGTTTGCCTCAGGGGTGAGAAGGGGAGGCGGTATGTGTAATGTCACAAACATGGTGCATACGTGACTGCACGTACACATCACTTGACCTCTAATGTCCTAGTCATTTCCTTCTGTGTGTGCACGCTGGAAAGCTTGTGATTATAGGTTGCGATTAAAGTAATGTGAAGCAGAAAGAAGGGTCAAATGTGCAGACTGACACGGCATCTACAGTACGAGCTGTCCTCCAGAGAGGGGGAACATGGAGCAGAAACGAGTCGCAAAAGAAAAAGGGAGAGAGAACGTGACGGTCAACTAAATGTCCTCGACTGAAATAGATACGCTACCAGATGGGTCGAGAAGATAGAGACGGAGACGGAGAGAGACAAAATGGCAGAGAAAGTGGAGGAAGAAAGGATGGAGGAAGAAAGGATGGAGAAATGCAAGAAGAGATGGGTGGGTTAAAAAGAGAAGAGTTAGAGATATTCAGCTATCAATAACTGATTGTCTTTGTTTTTAATTATATCTTGCTTTAAATTATTTACATGTGGAAGAATGCTGGAATGTAGGAAGAATAATGAGACATACAGAGGGGAGTGAGAGCAAAGACTGAAAAGATATAAAAATGTGCGACAGAACCTGCAGCAGTCATTGCATACTTTATATGTGGCTTTGCATTGAATACACAACTGCAGAAAAACTGCGCTAAAGAAAGAAAGGGATAAAAGACAGAGCCAGTGAGAGGAAAAAATTACTTTGTGAAAAGAGACATCCATCTTGAATACAGATATAAAAGTGAAGTGTTTCTTTTACCTACACCCTGCACAGACTGCACAGAAACACTTTAGCTCATCCTTGCATCTATGATCCAAATAGGAATTTGAATAAAAGTAAATATAGTGCGTTAATCACCACTTATTTATTATGTGAGTTTTGAATCATCATATATATTATTATTAGGGCTGCAGCTAACAATGATTTTAGCATTCGAAGCTTCTATAGATTATTTCAACGATAAATCGATGAGTCCTTTAAGAAGTAGGCCCACTTTTGCTTGGCGGCGGCGCTCTCAAGCAGAATGACCGACCGATTTTCTCAGGATGCGTGATTTCGAAAGTCATTAAAGTGTTTCATTTGCAGCCTTAAGAGTGCACAGGTATACACCTGTACATCGCTGCAGCAAAGCAAGATGTCAAACCACTGGAGATCAGAGAAATAAAAGGTTTTCAGGAGCTGTTATGTTACTGTTTAAAGCTGCTAAAATTTTAATTTTTATAAAAACAATGTATCGAAGTACAATGCGACAACTATGTGAAAGGTTACTCATAGTAATGAACCTACAGATCACCTGAATCTGCAGCTCCCCTCTGCTAAAGTTGCTGTTACCTTGTCTGTGATCTGCTGGCAGAACACCAGGTGCTTTCTGATCAGGTGCTGCTGCGCTGTTGACTTAGGTTTCGTTTTAAGGTGGACGGACGGTAACATTACAGAGTTGTTTTGTTTAGCTTCTTCTCGCTTTTTTCTCTCTCTTCCTCCACTGCGCAAACAGCGCCATTATAATCACGTACCGTGATTCGGTGCGATAGTAATAAATGTCCGTGCGAAACAGTGTGGTAAATAGTTATATGGATTAAAGGAAGCATCAATGCCAAGAATTTGTGTCGATGCATTTGATTAATCGATTTAATCGATGAATCGTTTCAGCCTTAATTATTATACATTAAATACACTCCGCATTACAGATTTCTTTCAGTCACTGTATCGTTTAAGGGCTGTTGGGACGAACAAGGATCAATCATGAGGAACTCAGTGCACAATTTTTCACAATGTGTCTTCTGAAATTAGATAATCTGGATAAATTGCTTTGATTTGTAAAAAACCGCCAGCTTTGTCCTATCTTAAACACAAAATCATCACATTTTGATAGCAAGTTAATACAATTCATAGGATATCAACCTATTGATCAACATTAACTGTTTGTGTGTGTGTGTCTATCAGGTGTGTAAAGTTTGTTTTGTGGAGTTTTACCTCCTCTGAACAGAGGATCAAAATATAGAAGTTGTCAGAAGCTGTACGGATTCTCAAGTCCTCTGAGACAAACCGTGATTTTTGGCTTTAAAAATAAACTTGACTTGACTTGTGTTGAATGGGAAAGCAGCTTCAATGTCAATGTATGTATGTCTTTTTTGGCAACTCTCAAAGGTGTGTGTGTGTGTATGTGTAGATATGTCAGGTGATTGTCAGTTTGAGGACAGGTGGTTATTTGGATGCGAGAGTCTCTCTCTGTCTCTGTGGAGCTTCAGCCTTCATCTTGAAGCTGTCCCAGTAGGCGGGGTCTTCCTCTGTCAGAGGTGAGGCCGAGGCGATGAGGTCACTGAACAACAGCAGCGTAAACGTGCTGGGAGGAGGAAGAGATGGACGAAGAGGCTGAGAGGAATAGAGAAGAGAGTCTTTGATTACTGAAATAGAATGTGGTGTCTAATAATGCTGCAACTGATGATTGATGTTATTTTTTCAGTTACTGATTCATTATTTAGTCTGTAAAATGACATTGCATGTTCCTAGAGACCAAGGTGTTATGTCTATATAACAACTGTTAAATACCGCAAAGGGAATTGGTTTTAATGATTATTATTGGCCATTATTAACTATAAAGATTAAACCTATATATGTTTGGCATTCTTATTTAAGAAATTACTTAAAACTTATTTTAAATGATAAAAGGTTGTTGTAGATAATTTTCTATCCATCATGTAATCATTTCATCATGAAATTGTCATTTGTTTGTGTTGGTTCTGCTTTTAAGTTTTAAAGTTATTCTAATTATAGGACTTTGTAGACAAGATTATGCCCCGAGTGTCTAAAGTTGTATAAATTGTGGCGATATGTTATGATACAGTGAACGATCACATGCTTATTTACACATCCAGCTCATACGGAAAAATATTAGCATTCATTTGGAGTTGTGTTTCTGACCACATGATGAATGTGACTCCAGTATTCACTCAATTTTAGGTCTGATTTTGGTCTCTACCAACTTAGTTAGTTAAATATCTAACAATTCAGCTGCTCAATGCTCCACTGAGTTTACCAACTAGTCGCTAACTGTCTGCCTGCTGTTTGCTGAGCAGGTAGTGCACGTTGGGTAGTTAGATCTTTTTCTTTGAAAAAGAGCTGCCTGCTGCGGCCAAAAACGACGCTATGAGACTGGTGAGAGTGAACCAAAAAAGTACAGTTGTAGCCGTACAGCCAAACAATGAGCTGGAACTCACTATAAAGCCCTCTAAAACAGAGGGGAGCTGCAGATTCAGGTGATCTGTAGGTTCATTACTATGAGTAACCTTTCAAATAGTTTTCACATTGTACTTCGATACATTGTTTTTATAAAAATTTTAATTTTAGCAGCTTTAAACAGTAACATAACAGCCCCTGAAAACCTTTTATTTCTCTGATCTCCAGTGGTTTGACATCTTGCTTTGCTGCAGCGATGTACAGGTGTGTATACCTGTACACTCTTAAGACTGCAAATTAAACACTTTAATGACGGTCATTCCGCATGAGAGAAACTGTGAAATGTTAAACATGTTGTGTGTCCCTACTGCAGAGCCTGGTTTGTCTGCTGGTCCAAGTGCAACAGCAACATGATGCTCAGCATCCAGCAAGCTCTCCTGCAGAAACAGAAACAGAAACACACACACACACACACACACACACACACACACACACACACACACACACACACACACACACACACACACACACACACACACACACACACACACACACACACACACACACACACACACTTTAGCCTGCATATCATACTAAATGAAAAAAATAAAAATAAAATCACCTTCACCCTCATTCAAATCCAGAGCAAATACTACATAAAACAGAGCAAATACTACATGACAAATAATGCACATGTGCATTACCAGACATTCACCCTGCATGAGACCACTTGTGCATAATCTGTTGAAATGCTGAATGTGGATATCTAGTGTATGTTTGTATGATTTCTGAGGAATTGAAGGTTCAGTCAGATAACCACTGCATTTACAAGTCACATATCACCTGCCTAGCATGTATGCGTCTACAGCATGTATGATTAATGCATGTGTAAAAATCTGATTTGTATGCAGTTTTCCAGCTTTATGTGAATGTATGCAGCCCCCCCCCCCCTGCCTTTGTAACTGGCAAAAAAATACGCTTGGACATTAAAGGCCAAAAGCTGAGTGTGTGTATGTGGGAATAACAGGTGGTGGTGTGTGTGTGCGGTGGGGCAGTTAGTTACAAAATGGTAAGCGAGCATAGAGAGAAGCTCAAAGGATAAGGAACACAAATAAAGGGCGAGAAATATCACCAGCAACTCATTTTGCTGTAGAAAAAGAGGAGAGTGCAGTCTGTTTTGTATGTGAATTATGATGTCCCTTGGTTTCTGTGTCTAGAGGCTGCAGGGGTGACATCTCCAGAGGTCAGCAGGAAGTAATAAGTCTCATAGCTGCTCTCTGATCCAGCCAATAAGCACGCAGTGAGCCAGAGGACATGCGGTCAACATTGGGGCTGCTCATCTCTCTCTCTATGTTAACACTTACAGCTCTGAGCATGTCTATTCGTATGTAAGACAATCAGAGAAATCGATTGCTTCGTTTGACCTCTCGACGTCACAGCAATCATTCACTGACAACAAATAACAAAGTGCGTCACTCTTCTTGAGGACATACAGAAAGATGACCAGCTTCACTGATGTGTGTTAGTGCAGGCTGACTCTTATTTTATCCTTTAAATAACTTTTTTTTTTTATATACAAAAACATGAGCACCTGCTTAATGTGATGTCATAAACTATTTTAGCCTTCATTTTATAGTCTAATATTATCTTGTCTTTTTAATTTAAGTTTATCTTATTTGATTAATATTGTAAATGTTATGATTTGCTTTTATGTAGAGCACTTTGCGTTGCGCTTTACGCATAAATTATGCTGTAGAAATAAGGCTTATAATTGTTCTTGTTCATGTTGTTACTGTGTTCTCCTTATTCAGATTTAAGGGCAAATTTAAGGACTCATTTGTCATATTTAACAACGACATCTGGGGAATTCTATAGTCAGTTATTTAATTGTTTTCTAAACAGACTTGCCTACTTTGGTGTACCTATCATATTATACCCATGTCTACTTTTTATTCCCTCATTTAGTTTTTTAATCACAGGCAGCTGGACAGGTTGAAGATACTTGAAGACGGTCTTTAATTCACAACCGAAAAAGGCCTTAAGAAGATAAAAGGCGAAACGTCTTTGAGTATCTTCAACCAGTCCAGGTGCTCTTCAAACTTCCATGGCTAACAATGACCTGGATGACTGAGGATCTTCACAGACATCAAAGGTATGTCATTTTCAGTGATGCAACACAGAAAAGCAGGAAATGCTCATATAAGATACTGGTACCAGCAAATGTTTGGCTTCTTTTTTTTTGACTCAAACTATTATTTGGTTATCAAAATAGTTGCAGATTAATATTCTGTCGAGCAACTGATTAATTAATCAACTAACTGTTTCAGCTGTCCATTTGTGCATTTTGCAAGTGTTTCATTAAACGATCCAGAATCTACACATTAAAATGAAACTGTTGTGATGCTTATTCATAAACCTAATGAATGTCATTTAAACTGAAACATCAAAATTAAATAATGCGAAATACACCAGTGTGGTGGAGGTTTTTATAACAAAATATATTTTTTTTATCTCCATTCTTCTTTGCTTCCCTCATTCTTGCCACAACTTGCATCTCTTCATCTTTCGTACCCAAACACATTCTACATCCAATATGTTGCTGATACTTCGTGTTGCCCTACAATGTACAGTTAAAAGGAGGACACATGCATTACCGTCTGCCTGCGATCGATATAAGTGAGCTTTTATACTCTGGTGTGAAAATACAGACACTAAAACGGCATTAAGCCTCTATGACCCCGAGAGGGATAGAGAGAGGAGGGGAGAGCAGATGTAACATCGGCCTTTTCAAACCAGTGGTAACCTTTTAGCAGTCACTTGTTAATCCATCTGCCACTGGGCATGGAGGAAAGAGTGAGGGGAGGAGGGGAACAGAGAGGAAAAATACAGGGTGGAGGAAGGGAGCTGGTACAGTTGAATGAAGGGCGAAGGTAAAGGGAGAGAAGAAAGAGAAGGGGATATTGGAGAAAACATCAAAGAGAGAAGTGGAGAGGAGGGGCAATGAAGGTGAGGAGAGAGAACGAGAGGAGATGGGAAATAGAAGGGGAGAGGGGTGATAGCAACAGGTGATTCTTATGCTCTCACACTTCTCTAATCTCTTGTCATGGTGTCAGGAGGGCCACTTGAGAGTCCTTCTATTGCAATCTCTTGTGTCTATTTCTCTGCAAGACCCTCTATGATTCACTTTGCAGATGCTTTCAAGGGTACAGCCGCTGGGGGATGGAGCACGGAGGATCCCACAGAAGAGCTGCCGGGCCCTTTGAACCACCGCTTTAGAAATCATTGATTTCATAAAGGCTGCTGGCTCTATACATGAGCTACTATTCTAAACAATATACCCACTAATAAGATGTAAACAAGTAGTATTTATTAACAATTGTAAGTATAAAAGAACCTGACAATATCGCTTTACATTTGGCCTGAAGGAAGTGTGCTTAAAAATACCTCAAAAAAGAAAATTTGAAAGAATTTCTGTCAAACTCTAGATATTCCTAAACTATAAATATGCATCTTGGCACCAACTAAATTCCAACAGGACTGTAAAAAATAACAAGTTGTTGTGTGCAGCACTGTTTCTTGGCGGTGCTCAGTGACTTCCTGAAGGCTTGCCGTCAACCGGGAGGTTGCTGCCAAGTTGCTGCTGGACCATGTTAATTACTGAGCTTTGAAGTTCTGGTAGGAAAATTGTTACCTTCATGTAAAGCCGAGCAAGCTGTTTCTCCCTGATTCCAGTCTTTGTGCTAAGCTAAGCCCACTGTCTCATTGCTGTAGCTTCATATCTGCCTGATATGAGAGTGGTATTATACTATATACTCTCATATATCTCTCTGCAAGAAAGTGAAGCACAAAACGGTGAACTAGTCTTTTACTTTGTACTCAAAACAAAATTTGGCATAGCGTATAGCTCCACCTGGGCAATTAAAAAAAATTGAGAATAATCTAAACAAAGTATGAAAAACATATTTAGAACACAGATTTTTAACAAAGCTATGGCATTATTAGACAAAGTGACAGAAAATAAGATGTTATGGCAACTTGAATTGATCACTATTGGAAAACACTACAGACTGTTTTCAATGCACCTCATTCTTTTGCGAGCATGAGAGTTGTTGGTAAACTGCACACTGCTGTTTACGTCAAAAAACTGTCCGTGATCTCTTTAGCATGTTTTCACATCAAATCCTAAATCTGGAAATAAAAAAGTCATGAATCTGTCGTTAGTTTGTTTCTGTCTTTTCAATGTGTCATTTGACAGAAAATGAAAAAGATAATGTCTAACTTTTTTAAGAGCTCTTGGTTGGTAGTTTTTCCTGTCTTTCTTAATCTTCACACCTGCGTTCAAACAGACTCACTTCAAATATCCAGTCCTCTTCTTCTTCCTCATCTAGGTGCATCTTGGTCTGGCGCAGTGCCAGGCCCTGTGTCAGCGGTTCAGGGGCCAGGTGAAACTCCACCCTCTGCAGGTTGAAGCCCAGACCCGTGCCGATGGCTTTGATGAAGCTCTCCTTCAGTGCCTTGGTGGAAAGGGAAGAAACCCAGTTTGCTAAGTGCAAGTACAAGCGATTAATTGCAGAAAATGTACACAGGCACATAGGAAAGAAAAAAGGACTTTTGTATGTCTGACAAAAGACAGTCCATGTACTTCTTTGTTTGTGTGTGTGGTGTATTTTGGCTCAGAAGCACAATAACTTAAAACCACAACAGATGGGAATCTATGCACACATGTATAACAGTGTGTGCACAAAAGAGTGATTTTGTGTGTGTGTGTGTGTGTTTAGCCAAAATCAACCCTGCTCGGCAGCCAATGAGCCACAATAACAGTATTACAACGCTAATCGCTATGGCAACGGTGAACTCTGCCATTAGTCAACAGTGTGGTGATGATATCAGAGCTTGACGTCTCTGTGCCACCCTCTCAATCTCACAACATCTTTACTTAGCACCAATGTTGCTGTTGCTGTCCATCTGTGTGTGTGTGTCTGCTAGAAGAAAGAATATATCTGAAGATAAAAACTGAGAAAGGGAACAGAAAGAAAGGACTGTTGCGTATCTGTGAGGACAGAGAAGGACAGATGTGAGGAACAAAGAAACATGAGAGTTGAGAGAAACCCAGAGCTCACACGTCTGCACAAACGTGTGCGTGTGTGTCTCAAGGGACATCAGCAATGTTACTGTCTCCCTGTTTCCTTCTCTCACACACACACGAACAAAAGAAACGCCGCCAGTGGGGCCCGGCAGCGATGCAGTGTGATGACTGGGTGGTATGGTTGCCATGGTTACCCAGTGGCGGTAGAACGCGGCGAGCTGCTGGTGCTCCGAGCCAGCCGATTGGATGACGCTCCACTCATACGCTGTAAACTGACGAGTCATGATGCGGAAAAACTCTGGCACAGAGCTGCTACCTGGAGGGAAACAAGGGGGGAATGTAGGAGGGAGGGAGGGAGGAGAGGTGTGAGGGCCAAAGAAAGGGAAGAGGACAGAGGAAGAAGGATGGAGGCACAGACAGAAGGGAAGGAAAGGATGGAAATGAAGGGAAAAGCAAAATGAGGTTGAGAGAAAGATGGAGGCAGGCGTCAGAAGTAAGACACAGGTAGAAACAAACAAGCTCTCCCAATATAATCCAATATAGTCCACTCTTGTAGATTAGAGTGGACTGTTTCCTCTCTCAGCAATATCTCACAACACCAGAGATTTGAATGTGACACACACACACACACACACACAGTCTTGGCCTAGACCCTTTACGTACACAGGGCATCAGGGACCTCTTGTGGTCAGCTTGGAGAATACAAATAATTCTGTTTCAAGACACACGGTTGATTTATTTGTCATTTAACAACACATGGTTGTATAATGATATTAAGTTTGTAGTTCATTTTATATTACTCACAAAGAACAAATGTTATATAAAAAAAAAATATAAAATGATATACAGAAAGAGGGTACTTTACATGGTGGAGTGCTGAGGATGAATGAAGGAGTCTCACAGCCTGAGTGAAGAAGCTGCTCTGGAGCCTGATGTTACAACAGCGAATAATTCTGTATCTCTTGCCAGATGACAGCAGAGTGATCAGCCTGTGGCTGTGGTGGTACTGTATTTTAGTATTCTTTGGGCTCAGTTCAGGTGTTGAGTGCAGTTGACTACGGTGCTGAGTACTGCAGTGGTGGAGGTGTGACCGCTAATACAAACTGTCTGGGGTCCGTTTGTGAGGAAGTCCAGTTGCAGAGTGTTGTATTTAAACCCAGAACGCTGAGTTTGTCAATCAGTTTCACGGGGGAGATCGTGTTGAATGCTGAGCTGAAATCCACAAACAGCATTCTGATGCAGTTGTCATTTTGTTTTTCTGCCTTATGCTTGGCACTTATGCTGATTATACTAACAGATTCGGCTGTTACGGATTAATTATCATTAGTGTGAGATGGTGAAAATAGACAGCTGACACAGACAGATTTTGGTAGTTTGATCTTTAAACTTGTGCCATGATCCAGAGAGGAGCATCAGGATTAATTCAGGCGTGTTTTATTTCTTTTGTGGCTTGAATATCGTAAAGTCTTATACAGCCAATTCAAACTAAAGGTTGTTGTCTAAAAATCTTTCTCTCCATTGTTGTGTACTTTGGTGCAAACAAGTCAAACCATTTCCCCCGTTTAACCCAGATGACCTTACAATCTCATGTTGCCACTAGTACCCTTGTTTCCCTCGCCTTTGGTTGGTAGGATTCCCTGATTAATCTCCTGAGATGAGGAGGCTTTTTTGTTTTTTGCAAGAAATTGTGTGATTTTAAGTAATTTGTATGAAGGTTGGGCCTGGAGGACAAACAAACAGACTTTCTATGAATGGCCACCTTCATGCTTCATCTATGGGAGGATGTTCATGCAGTTTTAAAGAGAAAGGGTCATTATTAGCGCTGCTTTAACCTCTGCATTTACCTGGCATTACTGTGTTCATTATATCCACTCCGACCTGCATCCCAAGCTCTGCAGCGAGCACAGCGTAATCCCCTTGGTGGGACAGGTTGAAACTCCAGGCTGGGGGTTCAGGGCCTGAACCTGGACTGACCTGGTGGATATTTTCAGGTATAAGACAAAGTGGGGAAAGGTGTGCTCAAGTAAACGTGGTCTCTGAAGTTCTTTGAGGAGTCAAGTAGAACTGAAATAAGCCGTGTCTTGTGCTCAACAATCACCAGTGTCAAAGTTACATCTAAAGTTATTCTATTCATACGGTTTCACTACTCAGATGTAGTTTAGGCGCTGTTAACAAGTTAATTAAAAGACTTGATTACTGTTAGTGCAAAATCACGCTGTGTCTCCAAACTTTGTTTATGGCATGATGCAGCCATAAAAATGTAGTCTTCCACTCGGTGCATACATCATATAGCTTCAATAATAGAGAGTGTTTAGGTGAATGGTATCAGATAGAGTGGAAGAAGATGACTAAACATGCCTGCTATGGTGCAGCAAAACTGAAGTGATGGCACTGTACAGTGAGGTGGGCTGCTAATATAAGACTGATATGTTATGGGAGGGAAATGAATAGTGTCTGAACCTTCAATGGTGCTGCCAGGTAAGGTTTCCCCCTGGGAGATCGCTCCAGCTTGATCTCTGACCATGGGATCCCCATCCTCTCACACACAAATCTCCTCAGCAGCAGCCTGCCAGCCTGGTGGGGTGACAGAGTGACAGTCAGTGTGTTGCATATTGGGAATCCAGATTAAACAAGCGGGAAAAGGACCTAAGTGTGGTGGCAGTGCGATAAGTCTGCGTGCAGAAGGTGACAGAAAAGTTAACAGTCAGGCTCACCATGGCTGATTTGGCATCCTTGACAAACACAAACTGTCCGATCCTGTCTTTTTCCTCCCGCTGAATGCAGCGAGCAGCAAACAGCCAGTCAGACCTGCTCGGTGTCCACGACCCACAGCGGAAAGCCCAGCGGACAGAGCCCATCTCCTCGCCTCTGTCTCCTCCACCACGTCAGGCTGCTCACAAGTTGTTACCGAGCTAACGTTAGCATCGCGCGTTAGCATGTAAAACAAGGATTAAACTTTCCGCTGACAACAAAATCTGGAGATGTTATGACTCAGACACTGGGGGTTTCAAAGTTGAGCAGCAGAGCATCGGCTAACCGAGGGCTGCTAATAAAACTGCCACAAAAAAGCTCTTGCTATTTATTTACATTTTGGATTTGACAGAGGTGCACATGAACGGAAGAGCCCGGCAAGATTCAATGCCGTCATAAGTGGGCGCGGTGGAGGATTAGCCAATAGGAGCGGACGACACAGTGCGCAACTAACGATACCTTCACTGCTCTCAGGAATATCGTAAATACGACAAGCCCTGTTGGGGTTTCAATAAATATGACTGTTTTCTGATAGCCCACCTGAGATGTAACATTTTAACCATAATTTACGGAAGCCGACTGACTGGCGTATCTTAACCCTCCTACTTAAAAAAAACATCTCTTAGATATGCTGCATCCTTAACAATTAATTTAATTCTGCATTCTGCATCAGAATGGAAAAGCGCTGCGCTGCTTGAACAAAAGAACATCAAATGCTACTATTGTTGGCCCTAAATTGTTGTACTCAAAATTATTTAATCCGATCAGCACCTCTAAAGTGGTATTTACAGTTTGAACTCTTAGAATCCCTGTTTACGAGTCGCCCTTGGACACAGCATTAAAATTGTACCTCTGTGGTGTTGTTTTGGTTGCTGTACATCTGTGTGCGTAAGGTGAGTTGTCCTCACGATATATTACAGATAATGTTTTATGGAGGTGGTAGTAAGACGGGCAAGACGCTAGACTCCTTACATTCCTGACTGTAAATATGAAATTGTGTTTGTGCTCGTCTTGATTAGAGAAAATACTATTTCATATTGCTACTCTTGCTACTCTTCGAAAAAACGTTTTAAAAAATAAATAGAAATAGCCTTATAGAAATAGCACATATGACTTATATGGGTATTTTGTCTAGAATATATGTGGGCTAACAGTAGAAACATACTTGTCAAATATACTTAAACCTCTTTATATAGGCTACCCTTATGAATTTTACTATCTTTTCAACATAGGCCCATGCATTAGATATTGTGTATTGTCTGCTAATAGTAGCCAAACAGGAGAGGTATTGACCATCACATGATAGGGTTAATGTGTGGTTAATGTGCTGCAAAGAAAATTTAAACATCAGCAGTATTTCATTGGTGACTGCTGTAAGAATTTTCGCCATGCTTACAGCCTCAAAATCGTTTTATGTAAGATTCCCCTACTACTATCCATTAAAGAAAACCTTTATAGCGTTTCCATTTCACAAGACAAAAAAAAAAAAAGAAATATTAACACATCCGCATTTATTATCAATTGGAAGTTAGAGGCTGATCTATTGCACTTGTGTACTCTATATTTGTGATTTTGTTTTTATAACAAATTGACCTAACTTGACACACTGTATAGCCTATTCCAAAAAACATTAACAACTCTGTTTTACCTACAGACAGACTGCAGAGACCGTTCAGCTTGTGATGCTTCTCTACCTGTGTAAGCTCACCTGGCAGCAGATCAGACGATTAAATAAAGGTGGGAAACCCTGCAAGTTGTGTCATAATACTACTCTGTGGCCTTAGCTACATCAAATCAGGGCCTCATCAAACACAACCTCCATTCATACAGGGGAAAAACAGAAAGCTTTTGATGATTTACTCCACCAGCCAACCAGCTGTGACCTCTACAACTGCACACACTTCTTTCCACAACTTCAAGTCTCACATCTCGTCACACAGAACCAGCATCTAAAAGTGTAACAGCTGGGATAAGTCTCCAGGGCCTCCAACGACTGTGCTATTGAAGGAAACTGCACTGCAAGGCATGGATTAACCTTTACAACAAACATCCACACTTCTCTACCTCTGAGGAGTCCCCCCTCCACCTGTTTTTATTGTTTCTCTCTTTTCTTATACTGTCCTCTCTTATTTTTTTTCTATTCCTCTTGTCTTCTTGCTTTAATTTCCCTCAGTTGTCTTTCTTCCCTTTCTATCTCTCCCTCTGTGTTTGTGGGGTTTCTGTCCCCTCCTTGCTGCCAAGCTGGATTTCCTGCAGGTGAAGCATCTGAAGAGGAAGAGGAAGAGCAACTACAGTGTGAGAGAAACACAGACTCTCATCAGGGAGATCCACAAGAGGAGGGACGTGTTGTTCTCCAGACAGCAGGTATAGATTTCCTCTTCTTCTTCTTCTTCTTCTTCTGTAAACTGATAGAGTGGCACATCTATGGAGAGAGCTCCTAATGCGTAATAATTATAATATGATGTTCCAATTAGTGCCACCATGTTACACTGCCAACAAATTATATATAATCAGTGGTGTAGTGCAGGATATTCTGTATGTTCATGCAGTATAGGCTGATCTTTATTCAAGTGCCACTGATGTATACAAAAATAAAGTGGGCAAGGCACATTTTTTTTGTTATCTCTGTCCTCTGAAGCGTGAGGCAAGTTGGACAGATCAACAGCAGCAACTCTCCTGTCCTATCCAATTTTATGTGTGTGTGTATGTGTGTGTGTGTATGTATATGTTTGGCCGGTATGTTGGCTGCAAAGTGAAATGAAAGTGCAGTACAGAAATACCAAAATATGTTTAAAATAATTTGGAAGATACATTATCTACAATGTCCACCAGAGAGCACTGGCACAGTTTATATTTACACTGCAAGATATCTTGCTCAAGACAGATCTATTACCACCACAATTCTTGAAAAAGGTTAAACCACAACAAATTTCCTTCTTTAAACTCAGAAATATTAATATTGGCCTCAAAAACTCTAACTCTAGTTTAGTTTTACATGCATGGTGGCAGCTTTATGTTTTGTGAAAAACTGGCATTTCCTTTGTTTTGACAGGAACCTGCATTACTCACATCTTCATTTTCCAAAACATAACATCACGCTATGTTATATTTGTTCAAATAAATCTCTTCTCTTCCTGTTCTTCATCTCTCCCGTTTGTATGTGAGCAGAACACAGCCATTAATGAGCTGAAGAGACAGGCATGGGAGGAAGTGGCACGAGGTGTGAATTCGCTGGGGGAGGGAGAGCTGCGCACTGCTTCTGAGGTGTGTTTATATCTATATTTAAATCATACTTTAATGTTTTGATTCCTACGAAGCTCACCTCCTCTTAAACACCAGCTTCCTTCCCTCCTGATCTCCTGTACAGGTGAAGCGTCGCTACCTGGACTGGCGTGCACTTATGAAGCGAAAACAGCTTCAGGCTGAGCTCTCCCTGTCCTCCTCTTCATCCTCGTCTGTGGCCCTGAAGACTGAGTATGATCTGTCCTCCCCTGAGCACGAGGCAGCTTCTCTGGGATCTGGGTGTGACCAGCTGCTCGACCTCTCAAGCCTCCCAAAGGATTGTCACTGTGACTGGCCGGAGCTGGCAGCTTTCAGTGAGCCAAGTGGTCAGGCCATGATGGCGGCGCCGGGTGTGAAGATGGAGGATGACGTCAGAGAATACAGAGTAAGAAACTCATCATCTACATCATGGTGCCCCAGTAGTGCCTGTGTGTTAACAATAACAATAAAAGACAGTAGCTTTGTTTGTACACCACACGGCCCCTCTAGAGATTACTTATTCTGATTGAACCCAGAGTCTATTAAATAAAATAAAATGGATTTCTTATTAAACACCTTAATGCTTTTTGATACAGAGGTCACATTAACACCACTCATATTATGGAAAGACAAGTAGCCTATATTAGTATGAAAGTACTTGCTAATGTGGTAATGTCCTCATCAGCAGAGGTAGTTATGTTTAACATATCACAGCACATTATGTAGCTCAAGTGGCTCTTATTAGTCCAGTCTTTTGATTAGGCTCATGGAGGTCCGCAAAGCAAAAATAAAATTAAATAAAGGATGTGTTAATTAGGATTTAATTTAAACTTGACCTTTAAATGTGACTTTTTTCTGATTGCAGTAAGATCTGTTATCAGATTAAATCCACTGTCACCGTCCATTTATAACATTTTCCACAATAATTCCCTAATCTAATCTTCCACCCTATTTCTTAATAGGGTTATTAACCTGTGTCCAGTCTATTGAATTTCTTCATGTTATCAGCCAGACAATCTTCCACGGAAGCCCTGAGAGCCCTTTTTTTTGGTCTGATCAAAAAGGTTTCTCTTCTGTGTTAGTGACTTAAGAACAGGTAAAACAAAAAAGGTTTTGTCAGAATCAAGAGTTTGTTGTTATAATAATTTTTGGCCACAAGAGGCTGAAGTGCACCACTACCACATGCTCTAAATGGGGCTGAAAGCATTAATGTTTTCTTCCAGTGAGTTTTAATTTCTCCATACACTCGAAACACAAGGTACATATATTGCTTGCTAACAAGTTATGTAACATTACTATAACGTCTTCCTTTTGACTAGAAATTTATTTTAATCAACAACAGCAAACACAGATGAAAACCATCCTGGCAAAACCTTTTTTTTCTTTTATCTGTTCTTAAGTCATAAACACAGGAGAGAGAAGACGTAGAAAATGGACCACCAGAATTATTTTTCCTGCCTCTCATGACTTCCGTAATCTGCAGTCGGAATAGAGGTGATGGTTTTGTGTGCTGGACCACAACATGATCAGCTTGCCATGTGAAAGCATCAGCAGGAGTCTCATTGTTTTGGGGTGTAAATCATTAAGCAAATGAACCTCTAAAAGGGCCAACCTGAGATACAGAATTCCACCTTTAAAGTGTGTCAAAAACCATAACATGGTTTAGAAACTGCACAGCATTTTTTTATATAGATAAACAAAATCGAAGCTGCCGAGACATAGATATCTTGACTTTTTTTGTCACTAGTATGGGTCAAGCTCCAGAAATGTTGGATCCTACATTTCCCATAATGAAAGTTGATTACATCTTCCCTAATCTTTCATTAGAGTTATTGTCTTAGACTCCCTCCTGAGCCACATGATACAGCTGTAAGCTGAAGTTCATGTGTAACATCGGTGAAGGGCCCCTTTAATGATCTCTTTCTCTCTCTCTTTCTCAAGCTGGATGGTGATTGTGATGTGGGAGATGGAGAAGGAGAAATAGATGAAGATGATATTCCCTCCCTTCTCAGCGACATCGAGTCCCGCAGTGAGGGGCACGTAGGCGATGTTTACACCCACAACGAGATGGGCGTGCTCAGCTCCTCCAAGGCCCCGACCATCACCTTCAACAGAGACCACCCACTTGCTAGTGGCCTGGCGGGGATGCCAGCCCATGCTCTGGGTGGGCTAACCAGTCACGAAAACGTGGGAGCTGGGTTTCTGGTTGCGGTTGAGAAACAGCGACTGGAGCTGGAAAAACAGCGCCTGTCTGTAGAAACTGAACGCCTGGCGGTGGAGAAAGAGCGGCTGGTGGTGGAGAAGGAGAGGCTTCGTCAGATGGAGGTAGAGAGGGAGAGGCTGCAGCTGGAGAGAGAGCGGTTACAGGTGGAGAGGGAGCGGCTGAGGCTTCTGCTCCTCAGCCAATCAGAGCAGGTGGACTCCTCCTTTAACCTGCCGCCACAACAGGGCCCGCCCTCATCCTCCACATCTTCTTTATCCTCTACTCACGATGGACAGAGGGAGCAAGAGAAAGAAAGTAAAGGCTGGAGGTCAGTGGTGGATCTGGAGTGTGAGAGGCTAAAACTAGAGAAGGAAAGGCTGCAGCTGGAGAAAGAGAGGCTGCAGTTCTTCAAATTTGAAGCTGGCAGACTGCAGATTGAGAGAGAGCGCCTCCAAGTGGAGAAAGAGAGAATGCAGCTGCACAAAGATCATCAGGGCCACTGAGAAAGCGATGAATTAATACATTTTCACCAGCTTCCAGGAGGAACTTTTAATACTGAAAACAACCCAGAAAATGTGGAATACCATTTACCCCTACACACACGTCTTTCAGGAAGGTGTAAGGCACATTAATGATCATTCCTGATTGGAAGTGGGCCAAGGAGAAGACTGAGATGGAGGGCTGGCATATTTATGACCATCGTGATAAAGCAGTGCCTTATGATGTCTTGATTAAATCGGTGACGGGACAGAAAAGATGCCATGGTAATAAAATCTATGATTTGTCTGGCACGCGCAGCTGGTTAACCTGGAAAATATATGATTTATAAAATGCGACAAGTTTCAACAGCTGTTCAGTGCCCCATCCAAAAACACTAATCCACAAGACGTGCAGCATGAAATATTAAATGCTGGAGTATCAATGCAACACATCCTCACTGGTGTAGAAATGTTTTATACTGGTATATATGAAAGAATAGAATGATGATGTCTTAATCAAATCAGTGCCAAATTATTTACTGCATGGGTGCCTATATAATTTATCTTCCAACACTGAGAACACAACAGCACATGACTGTTACTGGTATAGAGGAACTTTTAAGCGGTTTATGTTTTGCTGTCCAGTGCTTGTGTTAAAATATTGTTTACACGGTAATGCTCGTGAATTTGTACATTTGTCTACCAATTGTCTTTATAATTTTTATTTTTTACCTCTGCTATTTTTCACAGCAGATGTTTTGACTTGTCATAGCAGTAAAAGCACGGGTGAGTTACTCATAACATTTACATTGTCTTCGTTCCATTCAAGTGTCCCAGTAAACCGCGACAGTGTGACAGGGAGCCAGCATGCCTGAAACCGGGACCCTGAAACTGAAGCAGTAAAATAGAATTCAGCCAGCATTTCTTTATTATTCACACCTGTGCTTTTCCTAGTGCGACATGGGAAAATGTCTTCAGGAAATAATTGGGCTTTTTTGCCAGTAAGATTTGTGGACTTGGAAAAGAGCTTGAACATCTATATGCTGAGCAGCTACTGGACGTTTGGTGTGCATGCTAGAGAATTCAAGGGAAATATTCCTTTTCCGGCTTCATTTTCTTTATTTTTCATTTTAAGTTCTGCTGTGCTAGACATAAACAGTGAAGTGTTATTGGTAACTAAAAACTGTATTCTGCTACTATGTACTGAAGGTTATGTTGTCCAACAAAACTAAACACATCAAACACTCCAATATACTATGCATTGTGGTTATTTTGTTCAAAATTATCCCTTTTTAAATGTTTAAATGTTCTGAGTCAACACCAGTATGTCTTTTTAAACCACTTGATATCAACTCACATGTCCTATTGTATTATTTTTGTATTATAATTCTATGCCTGATATGCATACATTATATGTATTTATACATATTTGTTTATGATCTCTGACTAACGTTCCAATGCCGAAATGTTAATAAGGTTGCTGGTAAAAAAAAAATGGGAGTCCCAGGTAAATACTGTTATGATCACAGTTAAATATAATCTGTGTTACAAACTGAAGTACTGCTAGCTGTGGTCTGTCTCATGCCTTTATTTTCTCAGCATTGCCTTTGAAAAATAATGGTAAAAGAGAATAAGAAGATGATTCATATTTTTTTTTTGTCTCCTCTGTATTGACGCTCCCCAGGAAGCCCACCAGGGTTCCCCCGGATCAATGCAGGCTAATAAGAAGAGACGAGCCTTAACAATCACTTTGAGAGAATAACACTGCATCTATAAAGAGTCAGCTTTTGAGGATTTCAGTAAAGCTGATGTAACCCAGTGACATTCCAGCTTTTTGTTTTGCATTTCATATTCAAATTATTGTGAGGAATGGGAAGAGTGGACGCAGTTTTGACTGCAAAACTGGACTGAACAGAGACTATAAAGCTGGCCAATTTGAGATGATAGTGAAACATCTAAAACCATAAGTAAACTCTAAAATCGCCTCCTACATCCTACACACACACACACACCCACACACGGGCAGGGACTCAAAGCTGGCAGATCCAATCGCAAAGACAAGTTTATTTTTCCATCAAAGGGTTATTTTGCTGTCTGCCTGTGATATGAAAGCTATATATAAACCGCTCTTCTTTATCTCTGTCTGGATTTAGAACTGGTGTGAAAATCCACTGTATTGTTATGAAAAGGGTCCCTCAGCACTGGAGGCCTGCAGTGACTCGACCTAGTGCAGCTGAGACCAGAGGTGGAGAAATAAATACTACAGTATGTCCTTTCTGGTTCTGGGTCTGACAGATATTTGAAATCCACATTTATGGCCTACCATGTCATTTACAGTAAAGCCATCAAATCAGTGTGTTCAATATTACAGTTCAGAGGTTTACAACTAAAATTAAAGAAAAAATCTAAGCTGCAGACTCACTGCAGAATTATGAACAATTCTCATTTTAACAAGAGCTTCCTTTTAGAGAAGTACAGTTATTTAGCCAAGCCTACAGGTAATAAGATCAGGCATTTTCTGTTTCACTTTGCCAACATTTTTTCAATGTTAAAATACTCATGGACTTCATGGAAATAATGTTTTATTTTGATTCACCAACTCTCTCGCTACTATTGCTCCCTCTCTTTGTTACTCTCTAGCTTGCTTGACCACTGCTGCTCTCTCTCTCAAAACAAACCAAAGGAACCTTCTTGGTATCACTATTTTGCAGACGTCGATGTTGGGTATACAAAATCAACTAACTGGGAGGGTATCATAGTTTGGTCTCTGAATGCCCGGTTTCAGTGATATTTCAGGTTGACTCTGCACAATTTTAAATTGTTTTTAAAATGTTGGATCAAAGAGCATGAAGGTATGAGGTCCACTTTGTGCTAGCCACTGTAAATGTGTGCTGTGTATTCTGATAGAGAGCGCATGGACAGAGAGATTTAAGTATATATATATATAATATACAGAGAAGTACTAAAACACATTTACAGCTGGTCCAGAGACCTGCTGCCTAGGGCAACTTCGGCCGTCTGGCCCAGAGCAAAGGGATGCATCGTCCTTTACACAGTATAGGTTTTGGGGAACAGAGATCCTCTGTCAGCCTTGACTGAACATTCCAGGAGAGGAGAGGAACAACAAGAGGGGGAAAACACTAACACAATCTCACAGCTCTGACCTAAACCCTAGTAAATGTGGACAGACTAACATAAGGAGTATAGGAGAGGAAAGGTTAAGGATAAAAAACACAACACATATATATCTATACAACATAACAATAATAGTAATAATAATAATATTAATTTTCTGTCATAACAGTACTTTTTTGCACCCAGCTTAAAAAAATTAATTGAAATTTGTAAAGTCTTTCTTTCTCTATAAGCCTCTCTACAATTTCTCCTGAGTTTTGCAGGTGACTTGTGCTTATATGTAATGTGACCTGATTCTGAGGGTCAGAGGTCACTCTGACTATTAGTTTATATTTAAAAATGTCAAATATATTTATTACAGGATGATAGAATACTTGGTGGCAAAGCAGCAAATATTTATTTTCACTGTGAGTGAAAAGATCTGTGATAATTCTCCTGAAACAAATCCTTTGGTTTTTAATCAACAACCGTAATCAGTTCCATTTCATTCAGTCTTAAATCTAAACTGAAAATATTTTAGTCACACTTTTGTGTGATGGCATTAAAATGAATAAAAATCTGATTTATTCCTCATTTAGTCCGAACATTATATTTGTATTAATCCAACCCTGTAGAACAGCGTGTTTATTTGCTGTCATCTTATGTCTTGTCTGTATGACTGTAAGTCTATATACAGGAAAGTGTGTACTGTATGTGGGAAACACACTTTTCAGCGACCACAACACCATCAGCAGAAATAACAACAAAACAGTCTAGGGGCGAGCTGCTTGTGTCCGCTGAGTGTGTTGGTGAAATTCAATTTCCTATCCGATCATGAGAAATGCTTCAAAGAAAAAGTGAGAGTAGCGGAGGTTTTCATGACGAGAGAGGAGCTGTGGATGAGAAATCAGGATTTGAGGTGGATTCCCCTGAGAGAAGGATGCAAAAAAATGGGGAAATTAAGTATGACAGGGTGAGGGAGGATAACCAGAATGAAGAATATAGAGTGAGAAATGAGGAGGGGCTGCACAGAATGGGGATAATGCCAGGACTGAGAAAGAGGAGATGAAATGAGCCAAAAAATGTGAAAAGGCTGTTGTCACTCTGCAGTGACGATAAAAGAGGCAAATTGAAGGGGTGTGTGTGTGTGTGTGTGCATGTGCGCACGCCCATGTGTGCATTTGCACGTGAAGGTGCAAGGTTAAAAGGGTGGCAGCACAGCCTCAAAATTGTTATTTTGCTTCATCTTCAGGTAAATGGGAAATACTTGTCAGTAATAACCCAGCATGGTATGTGAGTGTGTGTGTTTGCGTGTGAAAGAGCATAAGTGAGATGGGAAATAATGGGAAATGCTTGTCAGTGATGGCTCTGCATTAGAAGTGTTAGGTCCCCATGGATTGAAAAAGAGGGAGCCCAAATGACAAAAATCGCAGCTAGGAGTTTAACCCCGTAACTGCTGGTTTACAACAGGAGAGACTTCGCAGTGTGAACCTTCACAAACATCATCAGGTCAAAAATGTGTTTAATACTTACAAAACTAAAGATAAATTCACATCAGTCTCAGCTGGACTTTTAACGCTAAATATAAAATGCTATGCATCCATGCAACATGAGCATGTTTACATTCTCACTGTTAGCATGTTAGCACACTAAATTTAAAGCTTAAATGGTGTGTAGAGCCACTAACATTTACACCATTGTTGTGTGATGTAGCAATATTAATTTCTCATACCTGTACCTATACTGATGTTGAGTTCACAACACTGTGTACTGGCTGACAGGCCTGGGGCACCCACTGCCAGTGATTGTATTTTGGCTCCTAATAGCATTTGTAAGTTAAATGGTGAGTGTTTCATGAACTGACATTTATCTCAGTCTCAAATCAAGGTAATGCAGTAAATTTCGCACAGCTGCAGAGTATCTGTTTTTCAACAAGATGAAACACAAAATTATAAAAATGAACTTACTACTTTGTAATTTCTTTCTTCAAAAAATGTCAGAACACTTATCAACACCTGTAATCACACTTTACTCATATTATTATTATTGATATCTCAATAAAAACTACAGTATTGAAAACAAAGAAGAAAGCATAACTCGGTTTTATCCATTGAGGCCATTAATAGTTAAGTCCATAACAGGACGGCAGGTTGGCTGCAGTACATGGTACAGGAATAGGATCAGTGAATAAATAACCACACAGACAGAGCAGGTTCAGCATTGATGTTTTACTAGAAAAAGAAACCAAATGGAAAGACAAAACAAAAGCAAAAGAAGGAAAGAAACGGTGTGTTAAAGCCAGAGTGTTGACAGCCCAGCAGTCAGCTTTTTGCTGTCTATGCATGAAATCTCATATGCTGGAGGTGGCAAAGAAATAAACACAACAGTCTTGTGTATTGTTCAACTGCCTGATGTGTCTGGTGTGGTGATAGCTAGATCAGTGTTAGCTGTCTCTTAACAAATGTATCCACTGTAGAAACTGTTTCCATTATTTCTCTCATGGTGGATTGATGCAGTATACTCCTGCACTGATCCACTGGGCTGAGAGATTGATTGGAAACCGTCTACCTTGTTTGTTTCAACCATAAAAAAAGGGTTTGATATACTTGTTGTTTTGAGATATGTTTTTCTATATAGGCTGGAATACCTTTGATGCGGGACAGAGATGAGGTAAGTGTGGAAGTTTTTTCTGTTTTTTTTTTTTTTTTTTTGCGAAATGTTAAAGTTTACAACGTAAAAGGTATGAAAACAAAAATCAAGAAACCAAGAAACTCAGATTGTCAATTGGTGTCTCATGTTTCCAATTCATCTCTATCACATTATTTTGCAGCGTACCAGGGGAGAAAATAAAGTAATTTGTCTCTGCTGAGATGCACTTTGCACAGAGAGTTCTGTCTTACAGCGGGACAGGAGGGGAGACGAAAGCAGGAGGAACAAGGAAGAATTGAAAGGTGGGAGGTAGGGCATTGGAAATAAAACAGTAGAATTTAAAAACAAATACGTGGGAAGACTTGGGGCAGAAAATACAATATTTCATTACCACCTACATTATCACTGTATCATGACACAATCTCTATGTAAGTATCACCACTATGCTAATTTGTATTTAAAGAACTAAACAGCAACACTGTAATTTGAAAAAAATAATTTTTTTCTTTTCCTAATTGTTCCTCAGTTATTAATGCGATGTATATTTTTGGCTGGCAGTAAGTGGATGTGCCAAAACAGGCTGTTATACCGTAAATAACAGATTTTTTAATTTTTTTTAGAATTGATTGCTCTTGCCTGGCATGAGGGATCCAATCATGTCGCCAAAAAGTGCAAACCCCTGCTCAGTTTGAACTCGTGTTGGATTTCATTTGTCTCACATCTGGCGAGAAAACAAATAACAAAAAGCACTGAAGCAATATGAAATGCAACACAAATGCTACACTCTCCAAATGTCAGACAGCGCTGTTTCCCTAAAGTACAGTAATCACATCCTCTCCAGAGGCCTGCCTAAAGGAGATCTCATCGTATCAGCTTCAGTATTGAATACTGGCATCTGCATGCTGTAGCCCACCAACAGAAGATTTGGGAGTAAAAACATGGTTAGACAATGAAAAACAGTGAATATATACTCGTGATACAGACAGACAGGCAAAAATAAAAACGTCTGAACCTCTCATGGTGCTGGAGTGATCACTCTGAGCTGACCCTGTGTATGCAACAATGTGTGTGCGTGTGTTTCTACGCATGTGTCCGTGTGAGTGCCAGATGGACATTCAGTGTTGAGTAGGACACACATAGATGGTGGCATATCAATATTCTCAAGTTATCAAAAAACAGCCATATAACAGAATGTATGCCATGGCCTCTGACAATCTGTGATCAATGTTTTCTATAGTTCTCTATAGACGTATAGATATATATTTATTTGAATTATATATAATATGTAGATTTATAAAAAAGATTTGATCTTAATTACAAGTAGTGGCATTTTTCTTTCATATTCATTATTGCAATGAATTGTTATCTAAGATGATTAAAAAAGACAAGTGAGTTCTGTTTTGCTACGCAGTTATTTACAACAGTTTTAAAACGCAAGCTTTCTGATGTGGTATCTATCTCCGGGCCACTGGAAAAGACTGAGGATCTCAAATGATGACCAAACTGCCCTTTAGACTCATTACATTTAGAGAAATTGAAAATAACACCTGTAGGTCTTTAAGTAAAATGAAGCGCACACAGCATAGACCAGCAGTTCTCAACCTTATTATGGCCCTTGACACAAAGAGTTTACTACTCTAGTCGCCCTAGTGTGGGCAAAAGAATTCTGAACTTTGATTTTCCTTTTCAATTGCCCGGTTATTTGGATTAATTATTCAAGGGGCTGGATTTGTTTGCACAGGTGAACAGTTTTATCCAAAATGTTTTATCACCATATTTATTCCCATTTCCTCCATCATTCATGTTGCAAGCTTCTATAAGATCCCAGTGTTCAGGTTGAGAAGCACTTTGTAAGGTAGCCATATGAGATCTGCCCATGTGTTTTATTTTTTCTTTCCATGACTGAATATACAGTTTAAACCTCGCCTTTGTCACTCGGCAAAAAGTAATAATGAATTTGCTATTTAGCATTTCTACTGTCATGACGATGCTGTTGATGAAGGACTTCTTTAATTACTATTGTTTTTTTTTTCTTTTACAAACCCCTGTGAATTCTGTGGCCGAGATCAGCCACACGTATGTTTCGAGGTTACTTCTGTTCTATATTGGCTGATTATTTCTCGCTGGTTTGGGGCGAGAAGTCATTCTATATGCGTAGTAAGAAAGCATTTTCATTCAGTTTGAACAGTCCATGGCAAAGTAGCGAGTTTTTCTCAGTCTGAACGTTCAAGGTTACAGTTTTCTGGTCTTCTAAGGGTGATGATACCTGGCACTCAGTCTCTGCAGGCAAGTTAAAAGATGATGATGACCATGATGAAAACAATGTTTTGTAGTCTTAGTAAGGCGTTGTCGAGGGGTGTGGCTTGTTGGCCAACATCGTCCAATGAAGACAGCAGAAACAGATGTTCGTTGGTTGTCTTTTGTTTTTCTGTCAGCTGTGAACATCATCTTTATCACTATCATCATCATCATCCATTTTGTGGGCATGTTCACAGCTCGTAGTTCATTTAGGTCTGTGCTGGCTTTCCTGTTGGTTTGTCGATATCAGGATGGCATCCTTCCGAAAAATAATAAAACAAATGCTGCAGGCAAGTGTGATAGTCATAGTCGTCCTTTGTTTTTGTTTTTCTCCACTGTTCCCACGCCACAGTTTCCCTTGTCTCTTGTGAAATAAGTCAATGGCAGCAGGAAAGTGAGATGATGATGCGCATTGTGTTTGTGTATTCAAGTGTGTAAAAATGTGTGTTCAGTGTCTCTGATCTGAGTATTTGCATTTAAGTATATGTAATTATATGCATGTTTTATGTGTGTGATTATGTGTAAGCACATGTGGGTATGTGTGTGTGTCCTTTTCGAAGTCTATATGTTTGTGTGTCATTAAGGCACGGCAGGTGTTTTTGGTTTTCAGGGCAGTCCAGAGGAGACCACTGCAAGGCCGGGGTGTCGGAGGGAGGCGTGGCCAGCATGCACGGCTTTGGGGCAGTCTGGCGTTAAGACGCGGCCATTCTCCCCCACACTTCCTGTGATGGACAGACGGGCCTTGTTCCGCATGGCTTCAGAAAAAGACAGCTAATAAGAGATGAGATGGGAGGGGAGGACAGAGAAGAAGGTGGAGATGGCAGAGTGGAGATTCTGTTTGAAAAAAAAGATCATCTCACAGGCATCGAAATTGTACAAGAAAAATGCAACCACTCGCATAAAGACAGAAATTTCAATACGGACACATGCACAAAAAACGCTTATACATGCATGTGCTTGTACACTGTACACACGTAAGTTTATAATTTGATAGGTCTGAGGGTGCAATCACATGCATAGTTGAAACAATCGTTGAATTAGTTTTTCAAGCAAAGAGTGCAAAACATTTGTGGGTTCCAGCCTCTCAAATGTTTGGATTTTGCTGCTTGCCTGTTCTTTATATTATCATAAACTGAATATGTTTGTGCTTTAGATTGTTGGTTGGACAAAACAAACAATCTGAAGGTATTACTTTGGGTTTTAGGAAAATGTCATTATCATTTTTAACTTCTTTGACATTTTTGTGATTAAAATCTTAATTAAACATAAATGATGAAAAATGTTATTAGTTGCAGTCCCGATGAAGTAACTAAAAGTCACATGGACAGTAAACTACAACTGTCACTTGTTTACTGGAGAATAACAGAATTCACTCCAAGTGGCTTGGAAAAAAAGTGAGATTAGCATTTCCAGATATTCTTCGTACACTTGTTGTACGTCAAAGTTTGAATGGTGTTTTTCTGCCTGTTCAAACAAACTGAACTGGAGGTAGAAATGCTAAAGACTTCATTAGAATTACTTCAAACAGGTGTGAATGCACCCCAAACTACACATTCAAATCTCACTAAAAGGCTACCACACTGTGAAAATGCTACAGTAACAATTTTGCTGAAGGCAAAAGTAAATGAAAAGCAGGCAACAATCACCACAAATGTACATAGTAGACGAGAGGATGTGGGTCGTAGACATCTGCATTTCATAGGTGACCATGCATTTTTTTGGGTTCTGGGTTTCAGTAATCTGAAAAATTTGGGTGAGGATTTGAAAGGGATTTGGAAGGTGAGGACTTTGAAAAGACAAAAGGAAAGATTTATAGAGAGGGAGTCACTGGCTATACTGCTCAGAGTAGGGCGACACTTCACACAAACAGGCTACTCTGTGATGTTTCAGTTGTGCGGCTGCTGCCGGATGAAAACCTCATATTTCTGATCAGCCAAAAATCTGTATTGTCCAACTATAGTTAGAGGGTTTCCACATAAATCATAGGCAATCCAGAGAGAATAACCTCAGTTAAAGATGCTAGGAAAGAAAACATTGCTCACTTTCATCTTTAGTATCTGAAACATTGCAATTTGATGTTCTGCTTATAAGCTAATGGTCTTTATACAGTATCTAGTCTTGTAAAAGCCACTTTTGTATAATAATATTAAAAAGAGTAAGGTCTAGACATGCTCTATATGAAAAGTGCAATAACTTCTGTTATGAACTGGTGCTATATGAATGAATACATTATTTATATTTAGATGTACTATTTTTCATCTATAGAACAATTTAATCTGCATTTATAAACAGCCCCCTTAATGAGTGCTGTCATGCTGATGTACAACTCAATTAAAAACTAAAGAGAAAATATGGATAGACTTAGCTAAAGGAACATCTAAGACAATTTTCAAGGAACCTCTACTTGTTTTCAGATGTTTTAGACGGTATTATTGCAACTTCGAACTCATTTAGACGATTAAAGTTAAGTAAAATAGTACAGATAGAGTTTCAAAGCAGCCAGCTGTGGTAAATCATATATCTCATTTAGAGTTGGCACTGGTACCGTTGCACAGATAATGGCCAATATTTCATGTAGCTGTCTTTATTTTGGCTTCCTAGGTATTGATCCTGCTAATTACCTTAAGGCGATGATCAAATATGACCTTATAATGCCTTTGTAAGGTTGGTTAAGCAGATCATCAAATTGAAGTCCAGTGTTTCCTTTCACTTCAGTTAAGTGCTCTTTTACATCAATAAATGTGAGCCATGTTTTTACAACAACATCACTAAGTAGCCGTTATATATGATGTGTTTGCATCATCAATTATTCTTCTGCATTAACACTAAGTAACCAGGGTGTTTTGAATTTGTCAGGACTAGAATAAATCAGAGTCGCTATTTGGACCGTCTACAACAGAGGTGCACAACTCCATTTTATGGATGACACTTTAAAGGTACAATGTATGAATAAGAAACAGTGCAGAGTACTAGCTATCAGAACTGGGAAAGATCAATTCAGCAGACTAAACTAACTCTAGCTATTGTGCACAGAAGAAGATTTATGTACTCTGGTTTGTCATTGGTAAATTAAATTCACATTTAATACTTCTAGTGCTGTTCTGCCAGACTTAGATTTGAAATTAAACACCTAATAAATGCAAATCTATGAGTGCATATCCGATAATCAAAATCAAAGCATCACGACCATTTACATTAGCTGCCGTGATTCGCTATAGTCAGGAGAAGAAGTCAGGATTAGTATTTTTTGCCCATAAGAGATGGCACTCTCTACACTACAAGACAAATACTTGTACATTTTTAGAGACAAGTCATTTGTACTTGAAACTTCAAAAAAGTTTCAATCCCTTCAGGTTGACTAATACATATGGACAAAAATAAAAAGCAATTACAAACTGCTGCTGGGTAAAAGTTAATTGTGCTATTTTATTTGTTTGCTTAATAACTCAAACTTCTCTCCCACTTGTTACCTGAATGGAACAAGATCAAATCAAGTATTTTTAAGCTGTCGAAATCCTCGGCCTCACGCTAAATTGGTCTGAATTGGCTCAGTGTGAACTGGCTTTAAAAGGCTCTTAACAAACAGGGCATAGCATGTACATTCATGCCCAGCTCACAAAGCACTTCACCCATATGTCTGCTTGAGGACTTACTAGTCTTATTATGAAAATGATGGCGAGCTGATATAAAACCAACTTAAGATATTTATTGTATTATGGCTGAGAATTTTTAGTCATACCAGATAATTGGTGCCAACATGTTAGCTAATTAATTTGAAGCTAGAAGCAGTCACAGAATTTAATGAGGAACACCACCGTTATGTTCTCAGGATAGGACTACTGCTACAACCATAAAATAGTTTAGTCAAGATAATATTGGAACATTAGAGGAAAACTTATGAGTTTCAGGTATTAGTATTGATAAAGTTGATACTTTTATTTGTATGGTGATTATTATTAGAACTGATATATCAGGAAGTCCCTTTACTTTAATTCATGGCTGGACCAAAGCTTTTATGCACAATATTAATCCTAAAATGATTAGCTAATTAACTGATTAGCCCATTACATTTGAAGTACTCCTTTTTGGTAACTGTTTAATTGTTCAAGTCATTTTTTAAAGCAAAAATGCTAAACAGTTAAATAGTTGCAAATTTAATAGCTTTGGGTTTTTCGCTGTTGGTTGGACAAAACAAGCAATAATTAATTGATAAAATAATTGGTACTTTAGATTATACATTACTGCATATAAAACGCTACCCCCTGAAGATGGAGTTGTGCATCCCTGTGCCATCAATATTTTGTTACCTGTGAGCTAAAATTACAATGCAGGTGCCTATTCAAGTCATCAGCCAAGAGCATCACCATCAATGTCATCATCATCATCATCATCATCATCATCTGCAGCCAAAGACGATGGAACCAAATTTGTAGTCACATAAATCTAACCCCAATGTAGCTGGGGGTGAAGTGCTGAAGAATGAAAGAACAAAACAAAAACAACACCCAAAAGAAATTTAAACGCAAAAATCTAAGACAATATTAGGCCAATAAGTAAACAAAACAGACAAAATAAGCTTTTGGAAACATAAAAAAGCTACATTGGTTCCACAATGCTTGACCACGTCTTCACCACCACATGAAGAACAACACGGTTGCGTGGGGCTGTTGGGTCAGCCTCTACAGCGACAGTACAATAATCTACAGCACCATTACCCCACCTATATGGGAGCCTCTAAATCCTACCCCTATATCTTGACCCCCTCGGAGCCGTACACGTTGTACCCCTCCCTATAAGTGGCTAGATTCTGGGTGCTGGGGGAGGGGCTGGGGCAGTGAGGGGGGCTAAGGTCCACCTTCATGCGCTTGGCTTCGGCCCGTGACTTGTAGCAGAACTCGACCAGGGCCACCAGCATGGCCAGGCCCAGGCCGCCCACAAGGATGTAGAAGACCCCGGCAACGTTGGACAGGCTCAGAGCCTGGGACGACTTGTCCTGGAGGGAGGGAGGGAGTGAGATGGGGTTTGGGAAAAAGTAAGGGGTGAGAAGAAAGAGTCGAGTCCGGGTGTTGTGGAAAAAGAGGCATCAGTGGAGTGGAGTTAGAGGAGAAGGGGTTGATGGGAAAGGGGTGGGGGTGGGTGATAAATGGAAAACAAAAGGGAAAAGGGTGTGTGTGTGTGGGGGGGGTGATGATGGAGGATTAAAAAAAGACTTGTGATTAAGGAGAGGAGAAAGGCAGGTGGGATAAGAGGTGGAAGGAAAATTTGAGAGATGGGACAGGAGGAGAATAATGGGAGTGAGATAGCAGGAGAAGAAAAAAGAAGGAGGAGTAGGTGATATGGAGAAAAGCAAAAAAGTAGGAGGTGAGAGTATGGGAAAAGAGGTGGGAAAAAGCAGACAGAAAATAGGGTACAGTGGTTAGACACAGAAATGGAGATTGTCAGAGAAAAGATCATCTAGCGACAAATCCTAATGTTATACTGTTATATTCTATGCTACTGAAAGTATGATACATTTTACAATTTTACAAATACATTCTACTTCTACAACTACAATCAATTCTACTATCACCACAACAGCTACTAAATACAGTACTACACATCTGTAACAGTCAATACAACTACTGAACATTTCTATAAATGTAACATAGTGATATCAAACAAACTTCAACATCTAATTTAAGTAAAAATAAATCACAGAGCAGGCTTTAATCTGAGCGGTGATGACATTTCACTGCAGTTTTAATGGAATATAAAGGCTCCAGTAGTCTAGACATCTACAGTAGAGCAGCTCACATGGTCTATGTTTTAAAAATTGTAAATATCTTCCCATTTTCTTTTCCACTTTGACACACAACAGCAACAAGTTTTAAGTGGGGAGATATAGGTTATAGCTGTAGCATTTTAATAGCAAATGCTAATAAAAATATTGTAATGCTTTATCTCACAGGTCCATAATTTCTACAAATTTTTCATGAAAGCAACTACATAATTTAATATGGTATATATCAAATATACTTGTAAATAAATAAATAAATGTTTGAAATTGTGCTTAATTTAGTTAATAGTCAGCTGATGATTTCCCAATTAAAGAACTGCTCCACTGAAACCCAAGGAATTATTATTTCAGTATTAATGTATTATGGGAACTTTATTCTGCATGCATGTTAAATTGTATACTCATCTGTGCTCACCAAACTGACTTGTTCAGCTGACCTGCCATGCACTTAAGTCCTTATATGTATAATTATAAGTAATTGATTTGTTTATTTGTGGTTGTTGTTTATTTGACCTAAAATTATTAACAAATAACTGAGTTCTTCCAGAAAACTACCAAGGACGATATTATATAAAATATATATAAAAACATGCACCTGTAAAATAAAGCACTACCACACATTACAGAAAGTTATGGATATAAAGATAGCCTAGTCCTGATTAAATCTTAAACATGAAGGCAAAAGTCAGTAGTTGCTAATAATAATTTAAAGAAACAGTGGTATTCTCATCTGGTGGATATATTACAGGTTACTAAAAATGGGCTAGTGTATGAGATCAAAACAAAAACATGAAGGTGAAATTGTCTGATGATAATAAAAGAATTACATTGTATTTCTAATGCCAACTGTAATGAAGATGGGATTGCTACAGATTGCTACAGAAACTGAACAAGAATTTGAGTTCATCTGATGCATATTTGGGAAAATGTGGTCCACCATCAAAATAGAAAAAGAAATCACTAAATGTTTAGTCTACTGTGGACATTCAAGACATGTTTCAGGCTAATTGAGAATGTTGCTATTGCTAAGACAGTAGTTGCAGTAATCTGGAGCGTATTCAGATGAGAGTTTCAGGCTAGCGTTTTGTGGGCCGCAGCAGCGTGAGACTGACCTTACTTCCAGAGTCCTTGGGTCCACACTCTCCCTTGTCATACCACCATTTGTTTTTCAGTTTGTCTAAGACGCCTGCTTCGCTCAGTTTCAAAACTGCGAGGTTTACCGGGGTTCTTCGCGTGTAAAAATAACATAAATAACATCATAGGTCATGTTATTTTATGTTATTAGGGTATTTCACATTTGCATTGCACAGCTCAGTCACATAGAAAAAGGTACTTTTGTTTAGATCAAGTGACCTAGCATGGGTCCCACTGAGTACATGTGTGTATGCTCGTTGAGGAGGGGCTGGGGGGAGCAAGGAGCTAAAGCGAGCTACAGACATATGAGTGGGACCCACCTTTGTCACTCCAGGTAACACACCCATGCTGCCCCAGCTGATCCTACACTGAACCAGAGGCAAGTACTGTTAAGCCAGGACTATTGGTGTCAGGCTAGCACTGTGCTACGACTGGGAGAGTGAGCTACAGTGAGACAAGTTTGAATGTGTAACTGAGGATTTCATAAACTCTACAGACTTTGAAGGCAGCTTTCAGGTCAGTCAGTCGGTCAGTTGGTCTGTCAGTTGTCCAACATTTTGATTCAGACTGAAATATCTCGACAATTTATGGATGGATTGGCATTTTGGACAGACATTCGTGATACTCAGAGGACTTTTCATTTAGTGCCAACAGCAGGTCAAAGTTTTCGCTTGATCCAGTAAAATATGTCAACATCTACAAGATGGATTGTCACAACAACAATCATGGTTTCCAGATGATTTATCCAAATGATTGGATCCAAATGATTTACTCTAGCACAGTGGTGGCCAAACGTTTTAATTGTGGGCCATATATATATATTCTGCAGTTTCAGCCCCCCCGCAATCCGGGGACCGCAGTTCTAGGGCCATAGTTCTTTGGCAACAGTGCCATCTAGTGGATTGGTAATGCACAGCAACACAAAGGAGGTTAACCCTGTCTGCTACACGGCTGATGTGTGCAGCTGTGGGGTTAACCGGTCGACATGCAATCAATAACTTAGGTTTAGGCACACACTCGGTGATGATTAGGGTAATAATAAGTGTAAGTGTAATTTATACTTCTGCGTCAAATCGACAGCATAGGCTACGGGGCTACGCAGACGCCACGCCGTCGCCTGACGTGCACCTCCTCCAAAATGTAACTACACATAGAGTCGACGCGGACCTTAAGCTCTGTGATTGGCTGGGTAGCCTCGCAATGCCTCCGAGCCGACTGGAAGTACCCCGCGCTCTGAAGTAACATTTACTAGTGGCCAAAACGGCGGCTGTAACACAGTGAATCAATATATTTGACTCGTTTTGCTATCAGAATGTGATCCATTCAGTCAGTAACATTTGAAAAGGCTACACCAGCCGCACGTATACAATTCTAACCGCATTTCCGTTAGCGGAGCGCTAAACTGGAAGTTAGCCTGCTTGGCCGGCAAAAGTCAACACAGTGGACGCTATAGCGCTACTGCTGACTAGCGTTTGGGGGTGTAATTGCAGAATGACGGAAACACCTACATACAAGTATAAATGCATGTCTACGTGCGTAGCCTACGGCGTAGGTACGCATGTAGACCCTACGCAGTAGTATAAATGGGCCTTAAGGGTAATTGGCTTTGGGGGTCCGTCAAGAGTACATAGCTAGCCAGCCAGCTAGCTGGCAGTATCAAAGTAAACAAGGGTCCTACAACTGCAGTTCCAGTCCTAAGATTGCGGTCCTGAAACTGCTACTCCACAGGCCATTTAAAATCAGGCACCCTTGCTCTAGCGCCACCATATGGTTGATATCTGTGGTTTTAGGTGAAATATCTAAATTCTACTAAGGCTTATAAAGTCCTGAAGACACCACTGATACATACTTCCTTGTTGCATTCTGAATCTATCCAATTTATAAAATACCTGCAAAACTTTCAATCAGCCGCAGCTGTACTTTGTGTTCAGTGTTAATCAGCAAATGTTAGCATTCCAAAATGCTAAACTAAGATGGTGAAAATGGTCAACATTACCCGCCAAACATTAGCATGTTTGCATTACATCCTCACAGAGCCAGTACTCAAATACACTACCTGCCAAATTATTAATTCAATTATGAAAACTGTTCTCATACTTTCCCCGGGTAAAATAAACATGGATTTCTTAGTCTACACCTGCTTAAACACAGTTTTCACAGTCAACTTTTTGTGCTAGTTTTGAACGTGGCCTTTAACTTTTAGATCTGGTGCACAGTCCTCCAACTGAGTAACTGGGCTCTAGACTCCATGTTGTGTAAATTTTACAATTAGCTTGATGGAGTGGTTTTCAATTTAGGGATTCGCTTGATTCCAAACAAGACTGGCATATGTGATCCTAAAATGCTACTGTTCCTACTGTTTATTGTATGAAAACACGAGAGGTAGGATTTGAACAAGTATCAATATAATCATATTAAAACCTTGCCAAAACTCACAGAAGACGCCCCCCCCCCCCCCCCCCCGAAACCAAATAGAATTGTTGAAATCCAACAAAAGAACGAGAGATGTAGGAAACCTTATCCTGTAATTGCGTTCTGCTGCAATAAATTATTCATCATCCCCTGTGCTTCAAGTCAAACCTGAGCCTAAAAGAATCTGAGAGCTAGAATTACACTTGGGTCGTTTTTCCATTAAATGTTTTAAAAACCTGTTTCATCTGCTGTGTACTTGAGCAAAAAATTAGTGATGAGGTTCAGTTTGGTGTCTCTCTGTCTTGCTTGCAATTTGACTCTCACTCAAGTCTCTTATTCATCTCTCTTCTCTCCCCAGAGCTGCCACTAGGGGGCGAATATTCCTGTCTTTACAGTAATTTTTTCTCTTTATTTTTCCACCTATCCATCACTGAACCCTCTTTCCATTACCTTACACTTTCAGGGGGGCATTACCACATCAGTGCCAAAATGGTTATTATTATGAGGTGTGATTTATCTTAGCAGGCGCTCACCTGCAAAGGGGCAATATTTTCCTGCATGATATTTAAAATGAACAATAATTTCTTTCAGATGATTCAACAGAAAATGATATAATATATTGATCTTTTAAAAAAGCATTTTAGCTCTCTGTTGGGTCTCAATTGATATCTTTCAAAAATGCCTTAATTTTTGTAGGGTTTTTATTTACCAGGAAAATAATATTCTCTGTTTCTGTGTCTCAACAAGCTCAAGTGTTGTACCTTTGTCACTGGGTCTGAACCTTTTATATATAAAAGGCACCCACCACTGACAAAAGATGCAACATTGCGCCTATTTTTGTAGCTGCAGGGTGTCTCAGGAGATTTTAGGGTGTCACTTTTGTCCTCCCTGTTTGCTGCTTGACTCTTCGCCAGGGCAGATGCGCATGTTACACTCCCAGGACGGGGGTCGTCGCGGGCTACATAGCCGGTGAGCGGCCCCCGTCCCCCTAGTGGTGGGGTGGGCAGACAGAGAGGGCTAACCTTGGAATCCCCTCCCCCGCTGCCACATTCTCCTTTGTCATACCACCACTTGTTTTTCAATTTGTCCAACAGGCCCTGCTCGTTGAGCTTTAGAACGGCCAGGTTGACCGCGTTTCTTTAAGTAAAAAAGGAGGGACAGATAAGATAGTTTGGTCAGAGCAGAGGATGGAGGGACAGACAGACAATATGGATGTGGACCACAGCCAGGAGGGAGAAGGGGGAGGGAAACAAGGAGGAGAGGGGAGCAGAGGGGGGATAAATCAGAGGGGTGAGGGGTCAAAGGTGGGTTAGTGGGGAGGGATGCACCCCAGACAACGCTCTCTCTTACTCTTTCTCCTTGACTTTCTTTCTACTTCAGATACTTTCTTTAAATGTATTTCTGTTTGTTAAACTTCTCTGCTCTGTCGCTCTCCTGTACCAGGCCGCACTAACAGAGGATGCTCCACAGTGAGTGTCAGATTGCTGGTATAAAGTGTGTTAACCAGATCTCTGCAGCCTGCTGATAGTGCTCTTGTCCCTTACCTTTCTACTCTGCATGTGTGTGTGCATGTGTGTGTGGCTCCAGTTTCCTACAGCACTCCTGCTCACACCCCTGAAGGGATTGACCTCCAAACAAAAATCAGGGACACAGGGCTAAATATCAGGCATTCATGCAGTATGCGCGCATGTATACAGCTAAGCTTGTTATATCTGGCATGTTAAAATAGGAACAGCTGTAACTCATTATTTTAGTATATTATCATAATCAACTTGCTGATATTTGAAACAGGCAAAAGCAGAGATGAAAGCATGGATTTTTTGTGAGGTTTTAAAGATTGTTTTGCGTTGTGGAGAGCTTTATCATTCAACACTTGAGAACAGAACAGAAAACCCTCCTTTTCATAATGGCAAGGTTTGCTTGGTTGTCTTTAAATTTGATTTTTGTTTAGCATTAAAAACATACCCCGTAAATCTCTTAGATCTTAGATATTAGTGCTTTTCTCTGGCAATTCAGTGCATCACTCAGAAGACTTCAAAGAATCCATGATTTTAACAGCATTACCATACAACAATAAAGATAAAAAATTTATTCTATGTTTTTTAAATTTTCAAATTTCTTCAAGTTGATTATGGTACTGAACTGACATGAACTGTAACCAGTGACTGCCTGGAACGTAATATGCATGCAATCAGAACATGCAAAAGCAAAGTCCCTTATAAGATAGCAAATCCAACAGCAGTTTCATGAGACATACTGTAGAGAAGCAAAAGTGGTACAACGACCAGCAGTACCGATGATATTCGCACTGTCTTGTCCACTTTGAAATTTGCCCCAATTCTCTCCATTTCACCATTCCTGCAAATGTCTCACAATTGCCTCAATATGTGCCCTGTCCCCTTGCAGTAATGTCCACGAGAGAGTCTACAATACACGACTGCAGGAGCTGAATGATTTTCTCAATTTGTTCCCTTCATGCCCTTTATGATTTCATTCTGTCCTGTCTCTCCTGCTTTGGTAAATCTCTGCTTTTTTATAGCTACCTGTAAAAGACTTTCCTATCATTTTTTTCTCCTGCTACAACCCTCTGCTGACCACTCTTTTGTTTGTAAGATGCTGTAATCATCTGGCATAATCTCTACTAAAAGGTCATTGCAGTCACTGCCTGCTTGTTTGTTAGTCTGCCCCTTTGTCTGCACGTCTGCCTATCTCAAAGTCATATCTCATCTCAGAGTGTGTTGGCAAGAGCTTGCTTGTGAGTGAAAGGTTGTTCAGGACCATGTAGGAAAGTACAAGTTAAAACACTCTCCCCACTCAACAAATACATCATTTTCTATTCTCTATTTACATGTCTTTTTGTTTTGTACTAATGTAAATGCTAACATTACTTATTTTGCCAATGCTATATTGAAAGGCAAACCCCCAAACCTCATAGGTTCAGCTCTTTGAGTAAGGAATCCAGAGATTTAGAGAGAGACAGTGTTCTCTGGGGGTATCTAATCTACAAGCCGTGACTAATTTCATCAACGTAAGAGGCATGGATGAAAACAGTTCAAACATATCTTTCTCAGTCATGATAACAACAGTCACATATTAATAATCATATCAAAAGTAGCTATACTTCAGGAAATGTACATTCCTAACATTAATTTTAATCATCAGGGTATTCATTCTCTCATCAACATCATCAAGTCAAAATAGAGCTGTGATTAGTGCACTGAGAGGAAAGGCAGGCTCACCTGACTTGCACACTCCCAGCCACATGTGTGCACCTGGTAGATTGTATTTCCGCTGATTAGGAGAAGCCAGAGACAACCGTGGATAGTCCCAGGAATGTGTTCTGGGGGGGCGGGGCTTAAAAAGGGACCTATCCACCCGCTGTCTGTCACTTTTCCCTCATAAACGGAAAAACCTTTGTGTAAATAACAAGGGATTAAACTACAGTGACTGGGGTTCTGAGGGACTTGTTTGCACCACACACAGGGGAAAGTTATAGGACAGGATGTGAGGCTGATGTGTTTGGCTTTTCATAAGGCAAATCTGAAATGCTGATAGACAGAGAGGTGGAGGGAGAGAAGAGAGAGCAAGTGGTCCGGCTTTGCTGAATTTGGTCAATACTTTTCCCTCAGCAAACACTTGTGAAGACAAAGTCTCTTTACTGCTGTCACAGTCACCTGAAAAATGAATTATTTGAATTGGTAGCACACCTCTGTGAAACCCGATCAGACTGTTGCTGTAGGCTCAAGTTAACAAGCCAGGTGAACAAGTACCGGCTGAGGGAAAATAAAATACAGAAGGACCAACTTTAGGACTTTCTCATTCATTCCCTCCAGCTTGTGCTCTCTTTATTAATGATAACACACTGTGTTGTGTGTTCTTTAAAATAAACTACTGATTACTCATTGCTCTGGGTTTCATTTGGTGTTGTCCAATAACCATTCATATTTTTTGTAACTGTAGTTTGAGTAGAATTGACGGACCATTTTCTTCAATTTTTGGTGTGGGATCCTGTATTATGTTTTGTTTCTAGTCCCCCCATTGGCCAGGCCCCTCTACTTAATGTTTCTCACTTTTATGTCTCCTGTTTGTCTATAAATTCTCCCTCGTGGCTCTGGATGTAGCGGCAGCAGTCTGAGGTGCTGCCCCTCCTCGCAGTCATAGTCCAATAAATCTCTCCAATAATCATCATCATCATCATCATCATCATCATCATCATCATCATCATCATGACTAGCATCTCTGAGGATGAAAGGAACAAAGAGACGAGACAACAGACAAATGGACAGAGTTACCTGTAAGGTGGCCCTGTGGAGAAAGAGAGTGATTGAAAGAGGAAAGAAAGAGGTGGATGTAGGCATAACGGGACGGACAGATGACAGTGACAGAGGACACAGAAATGGAGCTAACAGGATCCTAAATTAATGGCAGAAATGAGAGTGGAAAAAGTGCAGCTGAAAGAGACGGACAAAAAAGGCCAGAATAAGAAAGATAAAAAAATCAAGGTATCAAGCGAACAAGAGAAAATATGATGAAACACATAATCTGCATATTTGACATGCTCATCTATATCACTGCTGTACGGTGAAAACCTGTAACTGCTCCTTTGATTTTGGACCTTATATTAATAAATGTATAAATTGTACTACTGCAATCTTCACAGTTAATTTAATACACGTGAGAAACAATCAATATCCAAAAATGGTCAACTTTAACTCAATTCTTAAATTTATGTGGGTGAGAGACATTTTCAGCTGACAGCAGTGACATGTTCTAGGTGGTGTATAAAAGGCACAGCAGGGTAGGTGGAATATCGCAGCAATAGTACAGTACCAGCTTTGTTACTGTCACCTATTGTTACACTATTCCACCCACCTTAACTGTGAGCCTTTCGGAGTGGCAATCCCATATCCTTTGGAGTCCAGGTTCCCCCCGACTTTCATGGTGTCACAAGGCTTGCGCTGCTCCGTGTATTCGTTCATGGTTGACTCCAGGAGGAAAGCGTACTTCCCCTTGGACTTACGGACCCTTGCCACGCCCTCCGCAGTGGTTTTGGTGAAGACGGTTGGTTCGGCAGACTTCATATATGACCACATCTTCTCGTACACAGCTATTTTGGACCTCTGGGATGGAGGAGGGGGTAGAGGAGAGAACAGAGGTTAATTAGGAATAAATGGGCATCATTTTGCTAACATAGCAGGCCAGGATGATGATTTTCACAACCCTGCCAAGGAAAGAGAGACCATATAGCTCAGGCCACCTACAAATGATTTTGCTTGAGGAAAAGAGATGACAGATTGAGTGAAAGATAGCCACACCACTCCTAAATTGACTAAATCTCTGACAGGTGTAGGTATGGAAGAACAGTGCGGATGTGTAAGGTTTCACACGTAGAGAACAAAGGGTAACATTTTATTTGTGCAATTTGACTGGATAGTTTGCATTCAAGTGACCCTGTGAAACAGGATTCAGGCAATTTGACAAAACTGTCACTGTACTAGCTCACTGAATGTATTTCAGCCTTTTGCACATCATGTTGTTGAACTGTATGCTTAACCCTTTAAATGATGGTGATTGGTGATATTCTGTCATCCAGTCCCATGAAAAGATCAAAATCAAAACTGAATTAATCCTCCTAACAAGACAGTATTGCCTGTATAGCCACAGATCTGCATTGTTGTCCAAAAACTATTAAAAACACATCAGTGAGCCACACTGCCAGTGCCATGCTCCTTTGTTCCTTGATTACTACTGGAGTTTATTTTGAGTCAGTCCCACGCACTGTAAATACTAAATAGCCAAATGTGTATTAATCTGCCACTGAAACAAACAACTTAACATTTAACATTTACTCCTGACTGGATAAACTTTCTAAAAACTGCAGCTATTTTAGTACATTACTTGGCCCTTAAAAACTGTCACCTGTTTTAAAAGATTTGCATCTTTAGTGGGCATAGGGCAGAGAGCCACAGTCCGGTTATTATCCGGGATTTGTTGACTCTAAGACAAATACGGAATAAAGCCAGCCTTATCATTTAAGAACGGCTTGTTATTGTTAACCCATCCATGGCCATTCATAGTTCACTGATGCCCAAAGCGTTAACAGCTTCTCTAACCACAGATTTGATTAGTCAAATCAATGTGCCATGCTTGCTGAGACAAGCAGGATGAATCTGACATGCAAATACAAGAGCTGAGGAGGGTACAACAATGCGCGCTATTCATTATTTTGACACAGTGACACTCGTTGCTGTTTATTGATGAGGCGTGCCGTGCTTCTACAATAGAAACAAGAGTACAGCACTGAGATAGAACTATATTAGGACGTTGTTTTTTATGTCTTTACTGCATTTCATTTATTGCTCCAGTTTCTTATGACGTAGAACAAATTTGCTGAGGCTGATTTTCACTCTTGAATAAAATCACAGTGCTGATAGAGCACTGTGTCTTCCATCTTCCATTTCGATCCTCTGGCACATAATGACATTTATAACCACATTTAAAATGTAACACTACTCTCTTGACAAGTCAAGCATCAATCTTACTTTAAATGAGTTTATGACTGGAGTAGTGGCACACTGATCCGGTTGTGCCGCTATGAATTTGGGACATGCTGTAACACAAGGACATCTGTCAGACATGATGCAATAAATTGTACTGTGTATATACCAGGCATGTGTCAGGGTGCATACGTGCAGTTCTGGGCACCAGTCTATATACTGTATGTGCAAAATGTGTTTTCATGTGTGTGTGTGTGGACTGTGTGTACTCAAGAGTGAAAATAACAAGCAGAGGAGTCAAACTGTCATTCTCCACAAGCGTCCTGTTTCTTTCTTCTCTTTCTTTCCCGGTGATAAATCATTATTCTGTCGCTCTGCAAGCTACAAGCCACGGCCTCAGCGACCGAAACCAGCGCCCGGGGGATGATGTGTATGTGTGTGCAAGTGTGTTGCTAGTGCATGACGGACACCTATCCCATAATAATGTCACTCACATCCAAGAGGACCAGCCGGCCCCTCTTCTCTCCATTCAAACCTTTCTCTCTCTTCATACTTTCTCTTTTTATTTCTCACTCTGTCTATCAAAGTCCATCATAAATTTTAAAAAGCGCCTTCACTTCTCTACACCTCCAACCCTTCTATCATTCTCATTCTTCAAGTTTAATCAATCAATCCATCCCTCTTTCACTTTTTTCCCCCATCCACCGATTTCTCTGTCTGGCTGCAGCAAAATGTGTATGTACTTCTGTTGCTTCTGTGCACCGTGTGTATCTATATCTACCTGTGTGTGTATGTGAGTATGTGTCGGAGAAAGAGTGTGAGCGAGAGGACGAGATAGTGATGATGATGACTGTGCATGTATAAAGCAGCGTCTGGCCTTGGGAGGGATGGATGTGTGACAATGCGGTGTGACTCTTTCCAGATTCTTTAACAATGAGCGAGGGTGTGGAAAAGAGGAAATGGATGCTGCAAGTCACCTTCAGGCGTCCACGCTATGGAAAACACTTTTAAATATACATAGACACACATCTGCTCTGCGGGCCACATATGAGGCTGAATTTGAATACATGCATGCACGCAAACACACACACACACACACACACACACACAGATAATTAATGGTGGTGGCGAATCCCCCTCAGCTGTGGGAGAGTAAATTGCTTTTTCACCCTTCACAGATTTCAGCCCGCTCGTTATGTTGATGATGCCAGAGCCGTTCACAGAAGCATAAACTGTCTGCTAACCCCACCTCCCCAAATACACACACACTATACACATCTTTAGAAAGCACAAATGTAAATTGGTATATACACACATATGATGCATGAGCACACAAACAATTCTGAATATTCCCACAAAGCATGACTATGTGACAGAGCAGATTTGTTTTTGTACATGTGATGACCCTGGTGTTTTTGCCCATGTCTGCAGGAAAATTCTGTCTTCATCAGCATTGTGTGCATTTGTGTGTCTCCATGTGTTTATGAGTACTTATAAAATTGCAATCCACTTGGGTGAATAGGTCAATGGGTGAAGCCACTAAAGGTCTCCTCTGGGCCACTTCACTCCACTCGTAGGCGTATTTTCCTGCTCACTATTTTATGGTAACAGCTCCCTATAGTATATTCTGTTCCAGCTCTGTCCACCTCTTCAGTCCACCTAGTCAACCTCTAGTTCACTACTCTTTACTATTTATTATTATGATTATTATTACTATTATTATTGCTTTATTTGACAGGGTAGGGGAGTGATTAAAAGCATCAAGAGTGCGGTAAACAAACATTGTTCCACTGTATTCATGTTTGCTCCACACTGATGCTTTTTCTTCTTCTACTCAGTATTGAGTCCCCCAAAACCTTGGTGTGAACTTTGATTAAGCCATCAAGTTTTAGAAACAAATTAGCCGAAAAGTGAAAAGCCAGACATTGCAGCTTAGCGTCACTTCCAAAATTTAAGCCTCTCTTAATTCAAGATCAGGAGAAAGTCATCCGTTCATTCCTCTCCTCCCACTTGGACCATTGTAAATCAGCTGACACCATCATTAGTCATGTTTTTGTCCCACCTACAGACAGAGCAGAATTCTGCTTGGCTTTTGTCTGGCTTTAAGAAAGGAGACAACGGCCCCCTCCTATTTGCTTCCTCTTAATGGCTGCCAGTTTATTTCAGAAGTTACTTTAAGATTGTGTTGCTTGTTTTTAAAGTTTTGGCTTTCTTGCATTATCTAACCTCCTACACTGCCACTGGACTTCTTCCCCTCGCACCCTGTTCGATATTCTATGCTCTGCCACAAGTGAGCAATAATGGATAGAATGTAGAGGATGACACATAGTCCATCACATTTATATAATGGTGCTTTTAGAAAGAAATAATGAGGAAGAAACACAAGAAATATGAAAAAAATGTCATCCATTTCTCAGAAGCACTCTGGAATTTTCTTTCAAACACAGAGTTATGTTCACATTTGGTGTTTCTCGACAAAACACAGTGTGTGTATCCAAGCTCCTCATGAAAACATTTGCACTGACAGTTGTTCCCAGATTTTGAAATTGTTTGAATTGTTTATATCCATATTTGCTTCCTTGCAGTCTTCTTCCACCCCACGTTTTGCAAAAGCTATATTTCTTGAAGCATTACTGCCATTAAAGGTTCAGTGTGTAACATTTCTGAGGATCTATTGACAGAAATGCAAGTTAAGAACCATAACTATGTTTTCAGTGGTGTATAAAGGCCTTACATAACGAACCGTTATGTTTTTATTACCTATTATTGAATTAGCCATTTCTATCTACATAACCGCAGGTCCCCCTTAAGAGCAATTTATAGTTATGAGTCAAATCGACAGCGTAGCCTCTGCGTAGCCCCCTGCCCTACGCCGTCACCTACGCCGTTGCCTGACGTGCACCTCCTCAAAAATGTAACTACACGTCGAGGCGACGCGGACCGTAAGCACTGTGGTCAGCTGGTTAGCCTCGCAATGCCTCCGAGCCAACAGGAAGTTCCCGTGCTTTGAAGTAACTTTTACTATCGGCCAAAACAGCGACTGTAACACGGTGGATCGATATATTTGACCGTCACAACCCGAGCGAAATGACTCATTTCACTATCAGAATGTGATCCGCTTGGTCGATAACATTTCTATATATCTATAACATCACTACGTTGAATACGTACGTTCGAAGAAGAAGAAGAAGAAGGAGAAGGAGAAGGAGAAGGAGAAGAAATAATATACAGCAGGGGGCAGCAAATAACTTTTGCATTGGAGCAATTTTTTATCCATTAAAGTGTAAGACTCACCTAGAAGGTTGCATGTTCAATCCCATGTAAAGAGGATATTTTTCCCTCTTCAATAATTTAATTATGAAGCGACTGTTTGCAGTGTGTGTGTTCTGGTGTTTGACCAGCATCCATCAACCTACGGACGCCTTTTCATTTTCCTAGTATCTCCAAGCAGAGGACAATTAGGGGAATCATGTTTTCTGACAGCTATTTCAAAGGTGTGTCAAGCATGCTTCAGACTCTTTTTAATTTCAATCCGAGTTTTTCAAAGTAAAAGCTCTCAATTGAACTCAATATAAAGCATTGCTGCAAAAAGTCCTGGCGCTGTAGACTAGACAGTTGACTGCAATTCACAACCTCACCACTAGATGCCACTTAATTTTACACACTTAACCTTTAAGTGGCGATAAGTGGAACAGCCATTTGTATGATAGTATGTTGCATCAATGTGTGCTTATATGTGTGCACTAGATACAAACAAAACTCAAAACTCAATAAACTGCTATACTGCACTACTACTGGTTAAAATAGGGAGGGTTATAAGTAGGTTAGATGTAATCCAGATAACTGTTTGTAAAATTTTCATTAAATTATTATGACATGTTTGGTAATTTTGTAACCATTAGAATTAGTTAATTACTTACTTTCAAATAAAGTTCTCTATGTATGAACACAGCTGGTTGTGCAGTACTGGTTGGGTTTTTAATAATAGTATAACTGCAACAGCGAGATTGTAGCAGGTGAAAACAGTCCTCCTCCAGGTCGTCTGAGACTTTATGGGTTTTCCGCAGCTTGAGCTCAGTAGCAAATTAACTCTACATAGTAAAAACCTGGAACCTCAAAAGGAGTCAAGTAAGTGAGCAGAGTGTATTGAGTCCATACCCTGAAGAACTCCTTTGTAGAGCCTGAGTCCAGTGTCCCGTAGGCTATCTCTGTCTGTTTGGCCAAGTCCTCTGCACTCTCTATAGGTGAGACCATCCTCTCCACAGTGAGGAAAGCAGCCAGATTGGCTGTGTAAGAGGAGATGATGATAAGCGTGAAGAACCACCAAACACCTCCAACAATACGTCCAGACAGAGACCTGGAGAGAAGACAGATAGAGGCGAGGTAGGGGAGAAAAAAAAAGGGAGAGGGTAGTAAGAGGTGGAAAGAAGGAAGAGATGTGACAAAAGCAGGAGAGATGGCAAGTAAAGGAAAATAATTGTAGATGAGACATTAGTAGAAGATGAAGGAAAAGATGAGGGGGAAGGTTAAATAGATAAAAAGAACATAAAAGAAAGACAAAGGGAAAAACAGTGAAGGAAACATAATTAAGGTTAGCTCCTCAGAGATATGCAAAACAACACATTGTAGTCACACAGAATTTTCAACACCATGGTGAAAATGATGGTGCCTCCAAAATAATTGCCTTTCAACCCACAAACCAATTCAGCACTAACAATAACCAAGGCTACATGAAACAGATTGTAATCTGGGCGCTCCTCCATCTCTCTCATGCTCATTCTCTCTTTCCTCTTTCTCCATGTTCACTCTCTTTATCTACCAATTGGGAGCAGAAGCATAAAAGTAAGTGGCAATTCATTTTGTTTGCATGGACTTGTTTTCACTGAATAAAGGGGAAGAAAGCAAGCAAGAGTTTGCACATTAGAGAAAGGGAGAGAAAGATGGGAGAAGGTGCCAAAACAAGTTTTTTTTTCAGTCCTGCAATCAATAAAATAACTTGAAATACTAATGGGCACAAACGGCAACATAGCTACAATAACTACGCTTTAGAAAGAGTGAGAAAGAGCATGGAGGGGTATTGGCGAGACAAAAGCTTAGTTCCTCTGTTTTATATGTCCTTTATTTAACCATGTTAAGTCTCATTGAGATTAAAATCACACACACGCAGTTAAAATGTGATACAAAGTCACGGACAGAAATCCAGTTAAAATTCATAAACGGGTCTAATTTCTAGGAGCAATGACAATACTCCGGAGTACAATTTTCTGAGGCCAATCCCAGCTGAAATTGGGTTCCATACACTATGGACACAAGTCAATCACAGAGCTGACACAAACAACCGCTGACGCTCGCAGTCACATCTACAGGCACTTTTAGACACAGAACAGTATCCGTGAATGATATACCATCCCCGCGAGGGAGCATTTCTGCTCCACATGTACAAACATGACTAGCGCAAGCTCGACCCTTCCTAGGCGCTCGCAACTGCTCAACACTTGACACTCAACAAGTTGACTTTTTAGACTTTGGAGACAGGATGGGATAGATAGCGGTTGATGGCACTGCGGAATGCTCCCTCACGAATATGCTTTTCCGCTTGCGGATACGGTTCCATGGTCTCGTTTCAAATACACGTGCCTAGGTTTGTGGAGGTTTTGAGACAAATCAAACTCCATATTTTTCACTTAAAACAGCTGCCTGCTGCAGTCAAAAATGATGCCATAAGAAAGGTGAGAGCTAAAAAGGTTGTGAGCTGAAAAACCAAAACAATGAGCTAAAAGATGCTGCAGCACTAGGTAAACTGCAGAATTGGATTATAATTATTTGTGGGCTCATCCCTATGAGGGACCATCATCCTCTTACATACAATCAGGAAATAAGGCCTAACATTTCTTGGGCAGGGAGCTGTTTGGTGATCCCACCACTTTGATGTGAAAGAAGTGATGTATGAGTTATTTTAAGGGTGGGCTGGGTTTTAAGGAGTGCGTGCTGGAGAGACAAAAGAGGACCTGACAGAGATGAGAGGTGCAGGGATGCCTGACTCGGCATAAATTGTCACCTTTTGAAGCAACTCCGCATTCAGTTGCTGTTCGAAAGCCAGCACGCCTCTTAATCCTCAAACACACACGCGCAAATATGAATTGATAGTGTGTCCTTGACGCATTGATCTGTTTACCTGAATTAATGAACTTACTCTGATGGATTCTCCTGAGAAAGAGTTGTTTTTGTTTTGCACTTATTAGGAGACTGTGGAAACTTTTTTCTGATGGAAATATGAAAATGTGAAAGACATGGACAATGCATTCTAAATACACTTATTTGACAAGATGATAGTTCCTGCCATGTAAACACTTTTTAACCATAACAGTACTGCTGAAGCCTGTCTTCTTTCTCAGAATGACAAAGATGAAGATGATGATGATAATGTGAAGGAAAAAGAGGAACAGTGAAATTGCATTTTAAAAAAACTAATTTTCATAGGTTCTACAGGGTCTCCAACAGAGGCCATCGGGGGCGTGTGATGTGATTGGTTTACTGCTATACAAGCTTTGACAGCCTTTTAATCTGACCTGATAGAGTGACTGTGTGATTCGAATGGACATCCAAACAGAAAGAGAAGGGGGATTAAAAGCCAGGCAAACCAGAAGAGGATGGCATAGATAAAGCGAAGGTTCAAGAGCAATGCACTTTTCCACTATGCACACTTATGCTCAATATGTTCATGAAAGCTCTTACCAAAACCTGACAAAACACCTATCTCATTAACCTGTCGAGCTTCAGAGCACGGACATTCATTGAGTTGTGTTCATTAGATTTTGGATGTGCCACTTAAAGTGACTGTAACATGTAAGGAATTCATGTAAAGTCCACCTGATATTACATTCACTGATGTCAACATTGTTTTAAATGTATTGATAATAGTTTTTTTTATTATTAACCAATAGAAGAAACGTCTTTGAGGAAATGCTGCTTTTTGTCTCTGGAAGGGTGTGTTAGACTAGGTAATGAGAGACAAAGTCAACAATTACGTCTTCATAGGAGAAGTCTTAATTGGTGATAAATACCCAACATAAATACGCATTTAAAAATGTTAGTATATCTGCATACAACTACACAATTGTATGATTTTGATAACTGTTTATATACTTATAACTGCTAAATAAGGGGGGGATAAAGTAAAGTTTTACTAGTTTTCCTAATACCTAAAAAGCTTTTGTACTAATGCCATGAGAAGACAGATTCTGTAGTGGCAAAGCACACCGAATTTTACAAAACAGCCAACGGTTCAGCTGTGAAAATTAACTTTTTTAGTACCCTTAATTTAGAGTTGGCAGAGTGACGTGAGATTTTGAACTAGAGTTTTGGCTACAGCAAAACAAAGCATAAGTGTGCGGACATAGATGCAAACACTTAAACTTAAACCCTAGCACAAATAACAAGTGTTTACATAACACAAACCATATTATTCAGATGTGTTAAACAGATTGAATCCCTTATGGAGGAAATCAGGTTTCTTGTTTGACATGACTTTTCAGAAGTCAGACTCCTGGGAATAATCAGAATTCTTAACGACATCATCCTAAACTGCACAAATGCTGCATTTATCAACACCAAGCTGCATTTCTAGCTGTATTGTGTTGAAAGTTATTTGCTTGACAAATTTATTTCTTAGGTTCATACATTTACCTGCACTGTATGCATTCACCTAGGGTAACATGCATTTTTTAATAAAATTTCTTTAGGTTAGTGACACGATTGCATTAGACTCATACGGTTACCTAAAATGAATCACCCTCGACATGCTTGCAAATAAAATAAAAAAAGATCTATCAAGTTCAGTTAAAGATTTGGCTGATCGCAGCTTGCAATCAAAGACAGAACAACTAAAACTGTTCTGTATCTCATACTGCAGAGGAAAGGAAAACGATTAAACATGTCAGGTTAAACATGATTAAAGACACGTCGATTTCTAAATGTGTTGTCTTGATTTATTTGTGAGTGTATATGAATGAAAAAGAGAGAGAGAGAGAGAGAGAGAGAGAGAGAGAGAGAGAGCGAGCGAGAGAGAGAGTATTCACCTGTGTTTTGGAGTGAAGTTAGAGAACATGTTTACCTACCGGAGAGAGGTCAGCAGAGCACGCTCGAATCAGATTAGATTGTGTGTGTGTGTGTCCATATGTGCACATGTATTTTGTTGCTGTCCGAGTGAATTTTGGTGTACTTGGGTGAGCTTTGGGAGTGATGTCGATTCTTTCTGTGAAACGTCAGTGTGAGCGTGCGTTTGTTGCAGTGTGAATGTGTGTGTGGCCTTCGTGTGTAGTTGTGTCTTGTGCGTTGGTATGCAACAGGCGAATCATTCTGTAGCGGGTCATGTATCATCTATGATAGCCAACAGATTGCCTCCCCAATCCTCTATGTGAAAGATTAATGGTATGCTCTCTCACACACGCAAACACACACACACACACACACACACACACACACACACACAGAGTTATACGGTTTCTTTTCATCCAACACATCAGACTTGTCTCACCTAAAAGAGGAGACTGCAATCTTAGGCTGGATGTGTGCGCATCTTGCATGTGATTTATTTTCATTCTTATGAGGACTAATGGAAGACAAGGACGTTTCCCGTAGTTCATCAATCATCAGCTTATTTCCTCAGGTAATGCTATTTGGCTGACAGTTATCAGAATATTTTTGGCAGAAATGTTTTTTTTAATGCAATTGCCATAACAAGAGCACAGAAACACTTTCAAACACACACACACACACACACACACACACACACACACACACACACACGGCTAGCTGGATGGTTGTTGTCCTGGAGTATCTACTCCTCATCCCTTGTGTTCTCCTACTGATTTCCCCTTCCCTGTGTTTCCTGTTAGTCCCTCTGTCTGTTCTCTCTCCCTGTTGTCTGCACGTGGTCTGTCTGGGCCTGACAGCATGACAGCGTCTTTTTGAACTTGAAAATAACGTCTGTTTGGGCAATCAAAATAATCTTCTTAAAACAACAGGTCGCCCATATGAACCTTGCAACTCGCTGTAATTGTTTCCCCTGTTCACACTGGCTTCTACAGTCAAATCAAGTGGATATCTTTGAAAGTTCCCTCTTTCGATTTCCAGTGTTTCTGTGCTGAGCTGCACTGGAGGGACAGTAACACAAACACGGACTGTTGGAGCCTTATGTTAGCTTCAGATAAACATTGAATTATATTTTTACACAGAACTGTGGATTTTGTCCCCCATCACTAACATTGGAAGCATGTTAGGAAGGGATCTCTTTAGGGCCAGCATGAACAATGGGAATGATTACTGCAAGCAAAAACTGTCTCAGTGAACATATAC